ACGAAGTGCGATATATTAACGAAGACGATCAAGCACTCTTGATGACAGGCTCCTCCGATGGCGTACTGAAAGTGTTTAGGAACTATGAGTCCGCCAAAAAGGTTGAGATCGTTACGTCTTTTAGGGCCCTACCGGAACTGATTCCAAGTAACCGGAATGCCGGCCTAGTTCTCGACTGGCAGCAGGGTCAGGGCAAAGCGTTGGTCGCAGGAGACGTCAAGGTTATTCGGGTGTGGAACGCAGCCACCGAAGTGTGCACTAACGTATGTTTCCACATATTGAGGATGGGAACACTCTTCTGACTATTGCATAGGATATTCCCGCAAGGTCCGGCTCGTGTATCACTTCTTTGACGTCGGATCAGGTTGCAGGAAATATCTTTGTGGCAGGATTTGGCGATGGCGCTGTTCGAGTGTTTGATCAGCGTCTCAAGCCGACAACCTCCATGGTTAAGGTCTGGCGCGAGCACAAGCAGTGGATTACTAACGTCCATATGCAACGCGGTGGATTGAGAGAACTGGTGTCTGGTAGCCGAAATGGCGAGATTCGACTATGGGATCTTCGAATGGACACGCCTTTTTCAACGTTTTCGGCGACTAAGGATACGCTTCGCACATTGAGTGTGCATGAACACGCCCCTGTGTTCATGGTGTACGTGGCTCTTGCCAAATATGGCTAAGCAGATTTGCTGACTTGTATGAACAGGGGTACCAACCGACACGAAGTCAAGACGTTCAACGTCAATGGTACATATCTATCCACCTTCGAGCCCTACTCGAGCTTCCTCCACCACAATCGATCTTCCCCGATTGCCAGCACGGCCTTCCACCCTCACCGCACCCTGCTGGCGTGTGCTGCCCTCAACGACAACCACATCAACCTCGTGAACTGCTAGTTCATCTTCCATCCTCCTTCATGGCCATTCCATCCCACCTTTATACCACTCGTAGCAAATTTCGGCGCCTGGAATATCGTCCGTCCGGGCCATGTTCGATTCGAACTGTTTTCCTTCTGATCTTCAACCTAACACCTTTTAATGGCAATCATGAAGCATCACTTTCTGGCGTAGGTCGGCTAGCTTTCTGCGTTGGCGCTAGGAAATTTTTTTCGTTTCCGTTATTATCATATGGTTTTGCTTTTCTATTCTTCTTCTTTTTCTTGTCTTCACACTTTGACCGTGTCGCCTGTATATGGATGGACATAGCTGTGCAGGCAGACCAAGGTTTAATTCGTCAGTTATACCCAGTGTTGGGAGAAGAATTGTTGTAAGATTGTAGATATTATTGATCTCATTTGAACGTAGACGAATGGACAACTTGAAGTATACTAGGTATGAACTTTAATTGACAAGCTGTAGCGAATATACCGTGTCCTTGCCTTGCTTCAAAATATATAGTGGCCCCAAGGCATTCATAATGGGGGTATTACGTGAAAATATTTCATAGCTTAGGGAAGTTATCTACATTCGTAAAAAGGTTACTACTAGTAGTTATAACTGAATAATAACAATCCATAACTATTTTACAACTTTAGATAATTTGTGACTAACTCTTTGTATCACCCTCCACACTCAACCATTCCCCCCACATATTGATAGATATAACATTGCCTGGGTTTCCACATCACAAATATATACTATCAAATTGTGGTTACTTATAGTTAGCAGTAAGATTTTGAGACATGCTCATAGTACCACTACTAGTAGGCATATTTCGGAAGAGCTGAAGAGGATTGTACTATAGTAGGGTTCATCACAGCAACTCAATATTTCATATTATATAGTAGTACCATAACAACCGGCACCTGACCAATATGGAGTCACACTAAATATACACTTATTGAACTCCCCTTATACCACACATAGTACCAAACAATAATTACAACAATATAAAAATATCATACTAAACTTTTCCCCTTCCAGTCACCCCCCAAAAACACCCACATCCTATCCTTTTTACAACAACAACATGAACCTACTGCAACTCCCTCTCCCAATCCGCCGCCCACAACGCCGCCCCAACCGTATTCGTAAACGCAAACGCAATCGACACAAACGGGACCATTTCCAGCGCGAACGCCGCCATTCCGAACCTATACATACCCTAGTCGTCAGTCATCACATCTCCACCCTCCAAGGAAAGAAAGAAAGAAAACGGAAATAAACATACCCAGTATACTTCCCCCTCCACCTCCCCACCCACCTACTCCTCTCCGCCTTCTTCCACCCCTTCAACCCAAACCACCGCTCATGCACCCCCTCACCGACCTTCTTCCCCTGCACATAAACATACACGATCGTTCCCACCACAGGCACAAAGTTTAGCGGTAGCAACACCACACTCCTCACCAACATATTCCACATGTTCGTTTGTCTTTCCGAGACTTCTTCTTTGCCCCCGAAGCGGGACATTACCTCATCACCACCACCGCCTCTCTTTCCCGACTGTTCGAGCAATTTCTCCTGTCCCATTTCCACGAGCGTGGCGTCAAACGTAGCAGTGATAGCGTCCGCGAGGAGGAATGATCTCGCAAGGAAGGTGGTTATGGTGGAGGATTCGCTGAGGACGAGTAATGCCGCGGAGAAGGGAGCCAGTAAAGGTCCACTGGTGATGGACATTATGGCTGCTTGTGGGACGTAGGTGAAGAAGAACATGGCTGTGGTGACGCCGACGCCCAGAGTGAGGGTTTTGGAGGACCGTGAGAGGAGGGGTTGGCGGAGGGTGGGGCGGTTGAGGGTGTAGATTATTCCCTGTTCATTCATTCAATCATTGTATTTAGTTTTTTTAAATTCTGAATTGTGTGGAGGTAGTAATGGGGTGGTTTGTGTAGTAGGTAGGTATAGAGGATGGGGGTATGATGGGTGGCTGCGTGTGGCGCACCTTAATTGGGTAGAAATATGTCCCGGAGAGGACGACATCTTTGGCGATGGCCCGGATGTGGGTTGCTTCGTCGATGAGAGCTCCTGTTATTTTGTTCATGGTTGGTGTGAGGGTTTAATGTGGTTGGTGATAGTAAGGGTGCTTGTTCATGGGGGAGGTGTTGCGGAGGGAAACTTTTGGATGGCGGTGACGTCGTCGGGAGCTAGCTAGCTAGCTACTTAACTGTATCCATTAAGTGGGGAATACCCCATTGGGACATTTAGTTCCGAGCGATAATTATACTTATTGTAAACATATTTATGATATTTTCGATTAGCTAGCTAGCCTCGCTCATCCACTTTATAATACATATTGTAGGCTATTTATCTCCTCAAATAGGACATGCTCGCACTGATGGTACATGAAATAAGCCGCCTTAACATACAGAAACAGGCTCAGTAGTCAAAGTAGCTGTGGTTGCCGTCCTGGCCGGGTGAACAGTAAAAAGGATCCACGTTTCCCCAGTCAGCAAAGTTGCCAGCCTGCTTCTTGCGATCTTTGGCGACGTAGGAATAGAGATTGATGATGACATCACCCAGTAGTTGTGTCGTCTGTTTCTCCTTCTCACTAGCACAGTTCTCTGCGATTCCCTTGACTTGCTGGCGGAGTTTTTTGTGTCCTCGATTATCCTTGTGGAACCACGCTTCTGCTTCTCTAACGGGTCTGGTGAGTCCGGGAGGAGTTCTCAACATGCTGTCCTGAGCGGTGGAGTCATTGTCAAGGTGAGACACATTGGCTGTACTGGTAGACTTGGTCTCGGATACCTGACTCTCCTGTGGCGCATGAGTCTTGACTGGTTTGGTCTCCCCAGCGTTTTCATGGACCAGAAACTGCTCATTGTCGAGTTTGGGGCTTTCAGGCTTCTGCGCAACGTTCTTGAGCAGCGCGGTGACCTCTTCCTTGAACCTGCGCTGTTTCTCCTCCCTTTCCAGCTCAAGAGTACGCGCGCGCTCCAAAGGAGTAGTCGAATATTGAGCCCCAGGGCCGGAGATCTCTAGGCCAGATGTAATCCGGGTTTCAGGACGCTTGAGACGGGATTGAACTCGCAGAGACTCGTATGGGGACTGGCTATAGGTTCGATCAAAGTTGGCTCCGTAGAGGTCCAAGGAGGTATGCTCGGAGACAGATTCACGAAGAGGAGTGCCCAGCGAGTAGGAGGACTCATAGGATCTGGTATAACTCAAAGGATTGCGTTGAAAGTGACCATCATCACTGCTCTCCCATCCGTGCGATTCAAGACGTGAAGGTGTGAAGGACTCTGCAGGCATGCTAAGATGACGGTCTGCCTGATTTGCACGGTGCATGGCTGAGAGATGAGATAAGGCCTTTTGTTGGCTCATGGGACGTGGTTCTTTCGGTTCGCTGCTTGATGACATTTCTGATAGAAGCTTTCGGGTTTTGGCGCCTCTTTTCGAGCCTGTTTTGGTGCAGAGCTGGAACAGAGGTACTGGCTGAGAGGAGGCTAGATCCTGGTAGTTGTCAAATTCGTGGTCTTCGTCTCGGTACACGGTGGACGGTCTGGTGAAGAGTAGACGACGAGACGCCATGGTGAAGTTTCGCTGGTGAACGACGGTGCTAGACAGCTGAATAGGACAAGACGCTGAAAGAAACGAAGAAGCTAGTAAAAAAACGATGAGACGTCGGGGTCATGCCATGGAGATGCAGACGACGTGACGCACTTGCACATTGTGAGTTGCGAAGCGTACCTGCCCACTTCGGGAAGTGCTATCATTCACTTGTTTGAACTGTCCAGTTTGCTGGGTTTGCTGTGTTACGCCGCTGCCTCTGCCTTTGCCAAACCACCATGACTTCTGTCAAGACAACAACACATTCCATGCTGAAGGCCCCGCAGGCACTGAGATGTAGTTGATGTCCATGGCTGCCCAACCGCTCACAGAATGGTTACGACAAGCGTCGAAGCCAGATGTCAAGTAAATATATGCAAATCAACTCTCAGACTACGCAGTATCTTCGACGAAACCCAATTACTATTCCGCACATAATAAATTACCACATGTCCAACATACACGTGTAATACATAAGTCAACCTTTGCATGAGACTGATGATACTTGCAAGTGCCTCTACCATTGATTCCGCTGCGTACCACCAGGGCCCATCGAATGGTATCCCATCTTGCCAGAGTCTAGCCTGGTGGTAGGGCTGAACTCAGAAGATTCAGTGTCCTGGCTGTAGGTGTTGTAGCTGCTGCCTCCTGTACGACCGCCGAAATCCTGCATCGCGCCACTGTCCATAGCCCGCGATTCATAACCAGTTCCTGAGCCACCGTATCTCTCCGGTTCATGTCTATAATCTGCAGAGCCAGTACCAAAACCACCAGTATTACCATAGTCGTGTGTGCTAGACTGAGATCCGTAGCTGCCGCGGTAGTCACCAGCGGTTCCCGAATCGTATGTGTCCGTCCTGCGCTCGTAGTCGCCAGAATTATAGTTGTCAGAGCTGGGCTGAGAGTTATAGGAACCATCGCCAGGTCCATATCTCTCTCCTCCGCCCGAGTTATAGTCATCGGTACTGGGCTTGTTACCATGGCCCTTGCCTAAATCGGGGCTAAGTCAGGAGACGAGTAGAGGCAAATCATAGATAAGATCAGAGGTATTCATACGGGAGTTGGAATTGTTGTGATGGCCAGTCAAGGCATCTTTGACCTTGTGCATGAGATTCGACATCTTGACGATCCTAGGTAGAACGGTGATAATAACTAAAGCTGCTTAGATCTGTGATCAATGCTCCGATATGGCGTGTCTTGCGAGGTTAGCACACGTTCAAATAAAGTCCAAGACCATTGTGAACGTCTGGCGGGGTTGGAAGCCACCCAAGCTTGTCACGACAAAGGGCAAGACAATGGAACGAACACCTGCGGGGGATGACGTTTGTACCGTAATCCGAGCTGATGGGTGTGGGATGATGGAGGAAATGGAAAGCGAGTGTCAAGATGTCATCCACGTCATGCCATTGAGACAGCTCCATCCAGACCATAGGGTTGGCCGGTGAAGCTCCGCAGCACAAGCCACGGAACCCTGGATGGCACGCCACAAATGAACCCCGCTTGTTTCCTTGCAGTCCCACAGAACCGAGAATTGCTGATGTTCTAGATTTCACGGAGAAGTGATGAAGACGACTGCTTCTTTTTTCCTGGAGCACGTGATCTATGGTTCGTGATGGTGCATGAAGTGGATGATGATCATGTAAGCGACAAGAATGACACTTGTGGACTATAGTTTGTAGACAGGTAGACAGGTAGACCGTGTTTGCACTGTTTCTACAGAGTGGTTAGGTGGGGGTTTCCCATTGACTCGACATCTACAAATACACATTCCTGGGTACATGAAACGGACCCCCTGCGTTGTCGATCGCTTTACTGTGTCCCCATGAGAAAAAGCACTAAAGTCGAAGTCGACAGTGAATATTGCGCAGGTGTGGGGAATGACGGGAAGGCAGTTTTCATTGATCTGCGGGGGGGAAGAATAGAACACTGTGGATTTAAATTAAATTGAAGAAGTAGTATTCAGTATTGTATGGTAAAAGAATGGGAGGAGGGTGTGACACAAATCAAAGATGCTGCCATGCGCCACACCATATAGAAATACAATAACAATAATAATAAAAGGGTCTCGTGAAAGGGAAAGAGTCACGAATCATAGACTATCTAATTTTTAAGTCAAATTTTAAATTGAAGAACTGCTGATGGAATTGGGCAGCCCAGCCCAAAATGCACGGGCGCAGGGTCTGTGACGTAGTACTCTGTAGTACGAGATAACTAGTAGATAGTAGGGGTGAAAAGGTATGGCGGTTGCCTGACAAAACCTGAGGAAGCCACTAACTAATTAATTAGTTAAGGGAACTCCCCTCCCTCAGGCAGGGAATCAATCCCGTGACTGACTTGCCCCCCAAGCCAGAACTGTCTGACAGAGAAACTACTAACTAACTACCTAACTAACTAATACTTACTGAGGGAGAGACACGGAGGGGACAGAGAAAAAGAGGCTGTGCTTGCGTGTCCGGCGACTCGCTCACAAGTTGTTGATCATTCTTTTTGCCTTTCTTCCTCCTCCACATCGTCCCATCCATCCCATTCCACCATCCCCATCCCCATTTCCATCCCCTTCTCCCTACTTACAATCCTACTACTACCGTCCATGTCCCTATTCCTCTTCTCTCCCCGTCATCTTTGTCTGGTTGGCTTCTAAAGTACCAGCCCGTCATTGCTTGACCACGACGACTTCCTAACTACTACTTACTTACTTATTCACTCTCCTTATCATCTTGTTCCTTCGCGCCTACCCTCCTTCTCCCTTCCCGTGCGCTCTCGATGAGTGTCCGTTCTGTTGCGCTTCATCGACCGTCTGATTGGTCCTAAGAACATCGCCTTCCTGCACGAAACCCGCTGGCCCTGAGCGTTGATCTTCCTGGGCTTCTTTCCTTTCCCGCCCACCCCCTCGGCCAAGCAATATCTGTTCTATTGCATATTCCAGCAACACCCTCTTAACTATGCGACCACCACGTTTGATTGCTGTCGTCTTCTGCCTCATCTTCCTCCCCATCATCCTCACCTTCTTTTCTGCTTTAACCTCCTCGCCTAGGGTGTCCACCCCCGATTCACTCGCTGGTCGAGCGACGGGTCTACACGCCCTCTTCTCCTTCAACATCCCCTCATCCCTGTTCCCGCCGTCCGCCATCATCAGCCTTACCGATGACAACTCCACCTTTTTCCTGGCCCGACCTGCTGCGTTTGGCCCTCTGCTGCCGGACAAGGGACTTAGCGGGCAACTCTGGATCGGTAGTGGCTTTGGGGAACGAACAACCGCTGGAGCGGAAGGGGAGCTAGGATGCTCCGATATCCCGGGTTGGGGTGAGGGAGATGGTCCGAAGTCAGGCGGAGGCGCAGATACTACAACTGGGAAGTCGGGGTCTACTCCTGGAAACGAGCCGACCGTGCCACAAAGCCATCGCCAAGCGATTCCCCAGCCGGATATCGACCTGCAGCATGACTCCGGTACCAAAGTGGCACCCCCGTTCACAAATGACGGCACGGATGATCATCTCCACCACCCGCTGCCTGAGTCAGAAGTGTCGGACTCAGGCGCCATGGACAAGCACGGGGAGCCCTCTTCGAACCGACAAGCTGCCCATGCTGACATCCAGTCATTGCAAGAAAGCGCCGAGATCGACGGCAAAGTCGTCCTTCTGAGTAGGGGCGGCTGCGGCTTCTTGGAGAAGGTCAAGTGGGTCCAGCGGCGTGGAGGAATTGCTTTGATTGTGGGGGATGACACCCGTGGAGGCAGCCTCGTCACGATGTATGCACGGGGTGATACATCCAACGTGACGATCCCCGCCCTCTTCACATCTCATACTACGGCACATCTGCTGTCATCCTTAGTCCCCCCGCAAGGGGAGGACTCGGCCGCAGACGATGGATCAGGAACACACACTAAAATCTCCACTCACGGCAGTGCCGGGAAACAACGCATGGACGCCACGGCGACTACCTCTGCCACTGCGTCGCCAACTTCAAGTCACAAAGCAGTAGTTCATGACAGTGCGGTGCCTCCAAAGCAGAAATCTGGGCTCTTCCACGCTCTTCTGTCATTGTTCGGTCTCAGCAATCATGGTGGACCCGTCTGGTATCCACCGGAGGACAGCCGTCGCCCGCCAAGCAGCGGAAACATCAATTGGATTCTATTAGATCGCTGGGACGACCAGGAGCCATCACAGGACGAGACCGAGCGAAAGACCTCCCGAACGAAAACCGATGGTGTTGCCGAAGACCTCAAGAAATCAGGTACCTCGTCGAGCAGTACTGACGGTGATGGATTCGTCATTGGAGTGCAGGACTGGAGAGATCCGGACCTAGTAGTTCCCAAGGGCAGCATCCTTCCATCTCCTACCAGTACAACCGACGCCGCCGGGAATAAGGTGCATACTGGCGCCAAGGGCTCGCACCCCACTCCCGCGACCTTGAAGGGTGGCAGCATCACTCCTGGAAGTGGCGAGTATCGTACTGTCGAGAAGTCTAGCGTTGAAAAAGAGTCGAAGATTGAGTACTCCGGCCACAAGTCTGTGTATGATGATGTGAAACCAGGATCCTCTTCCCAGCGCAACGGTTGGTTTGCCAGGCATTTCTTCTGGGCAGCGGACAAGCCAGCTCCGAGCCCAAGTTTCAGCGCCCATGGGCAAATCACTTCCGTAGACCAGAAGCTGCATGATGCGACAAATCAGAACGGTCAGGGTGTGAATGCGGCTGAACACGACGGCTTGTGGGTCACTCTCACGCCCACAAGCATGTCGACCAGTCCTTTCTTCGATACCCTCCTCGTTTTGGTTGTCAGCCCGTTGCTCACACTGACTGTTGTCTACGTTCTGTTGTTGCTGCGGTCTCGTATCCGGCGCAGACGGTGGCGCGCTCCAAAGTCCCTCGTTGATCGCCTCCCAGTGCGAACTTATCACACTATTGCGAGGTCCACCTCTTCCTCGGAATCAAGCTCGCCACGATCTGTTAGCCCTGGTCCAGTGTCGCCAACCTCGCCATTGTTGGGTGCGAAGAGCCGCTCAGGAGCCCAGCTGTCTCGGTCCCAGCGAGAGTCACATGTCTCGAATGCGAGTGCATCCAGAATGTCGTCATCAAGGAAGGGCAAATCGGGATCCACTCTGTGGCGCCGGAAATACACCGGCCGGCAAGTGGAATGCGTTGTGTGCCTGGAGGAATATGTGGATGGGCAGAGCAGGGTGATGAGTTTGCCCTGCGGCCACGAGTTCCACGCGGAGTGCATGTGAGTAACGATCCTTGAGTCCGTTGTCAATCATGCTCGTACTAACGATCTTGCAGCACGCCTTGGCTGACAACCCGCCGGCGAACTTGTCCCATCTGTAAAGGCGACGTGGTTCGGTCAATGTCGCAGAACAAAGCGGCGGAGGCTCACGAGTCGGCAGAGCCGATGAACGAGGAAGAATACCACCCTGACGCAGATTCTCAGCATAGTTCATCCTCAGCGCCGGTGCCGATTAGCGGAGTGAGCGAAGACGAGACCTCGGATCTCGAGCGGCATGCTGGCTCTGAAGCAGGTCTTCTCGAGGGACAAGCATCCTCGGCACCACCGAGTTGGAGGAACTTTGCCGCACTGAGCTACTCTGCTCTTAGTGGCGATACGATCTGGCATCAGGCGCAGACGGACGGCAGCCGGTGAACTGCATTGTCTTGCTTTATATTATTAACCGCCCCTGGTTTCATTGGATGTATGTGTTAGTGGAGGTGGGGGTATTCTGTCTTTGCAGCGTTTCCTTTTGTGAGCAGCATTAGCGATGTTTTTGACACCGTCCTTGCTTGGTTGGCGTTTGATGGATTTTATGGAATTCGTAGCGACATTGGCAGGAACAGGTTCAGTTTCAGTTCCGCACTCGCTTGTAATAATACTAGACCATAAGTCAGTGGGATTGACTATTTCCCATCGATGCTTAGGACGTATGAATTTGTCTTGGACATGAGTTGCAAGTATTGAGACAACCTGCACCTTTATGACAGCCATGGAACCAGCTGTCATACTCTATAGCTGCGTTCATGTGACACTACGGTGTTTCAACACCACTTTTGCTGTCCAAGTAGATGACATCCTTCCTAACCATACACATCCCCCATATTCCTTACAAACAAAACCATACTATCACTATAAACTTACACCCCTAACAAAAACATAATCATTTACATACATACACTCACACCGAACTATACAATTCCCCTCCCTCTCCTCTCTTAATCTAATTAAATCTTTTTCTCAGTTATTGAACCAAATCAGGCACACACCCCCAACTACACCCAACCCTCCTAAACGGCAACGGCCTCAACACCTCCCCGGACGCCCTCGGCCCCTTCAACCCATTCTCATACGTACTCACATCCCACCACTCGATCCACTCCGTCCGCGCGAGGACGAATCCTCGATGACACGAAGAACAATTCCGTCCTCCTGCGCTACGAACTTCCTTTGCTTGTCGGAGTAAGCGGGTCATTAGGGCTGGGAAATTGTCCATTTCTTCGTCGGTGATTAGGTCTGGGTATGTTGAGCGGGTGAATGATAGGAGGGAGATTTCGCGGAGGGAGGGCACGCGGGAGATTTTGGTTGTTGTTGTTGGTGTTGTTGTTTGGTGAGTGGTGGTGGGGGTTTGTTCAGTAGTAGGGACTGGGATGCCTTCGGCGTTGTAGTATGTGACTGGGCCGGTGGCGACGTGGATGGGTGCCCATGCTTCCTCTGGGGGCGGACCGTTGTATGTGATTGATTTCAGGCAGGGTTCTTGGGTTTCTTCGTCGCTGAGGACGTGCCATTTGGCGATGGGCTGGTCTTCGATTTGGAGGAGGGGGTTAGGGCGGACGGTGAGGTGTTTGAGGTCGCCTTTGCGGATCAGGAAGAGGAGTTCCCAGGGGAGAGTGGGGAGACGGTTCACGGAGAGGTTGAGTTCCTGGAGGAGGGTGAGGCGGCGGATGGCCGCGGGGATGGAGGTGAGTTTGTTGTAGCGGAGACTGAGGACGCGGAGGGAGTCGAGGTCGAAGATTTGACCGGGGACTTGGGTGAGGGCGTTGCCGGCGAGGAAGAGGCGGAGGAAGGGTTGGAGGGAGGTGTAGACGTCTTCGCTGATGGGGGGCTCTTTTATGGTGGGGAGCTTGGTGAGGTGTTGGAGGGGGTGGAGGAGGTTAGGGGGGATGATGCGGAGGGTGAGGCCACTATGGGTATAGGTTAGATGTTGGTTCTGGATGATAGAGGTGGACGTGTAGGGGAATATACCTCAAGTCGACGCTATCTTCTCCCCTCTCGAGACAATCATTCACGATCCCCCGTGCGACTTGATGCTCGCGCGGTTCTTCTTCGACTTTCCTGAATCCTTGTTGTTGAGTCTGGTTCTGCGGCATCATCGTCTTTGTACCTCCATTCGCATGCGAATTCAACCAATCCTCTCCCAAATCCGCATCAGAAGGCAAGAACCCCGACCCCGGACCAGAATCATAACCATCACTGCCCATCCACACACCACTATCCACCAACCGCTTCTCCTTGAAATCCGCCCGCTTGCGCTTCGCGTCCTTGTCCTTCACCATCTCTCCCCACCAGGTGCCGCGGTACCGGCGCTTCCGACTAACAGGCGCATTATTGTAGTTCTCTAGACCCGAGGCGGGGATGTCATCGCTGGAGAAGAGTGCCGGGTCACTAGATGGTTGACTGGAGCGGTCGTCAATGAAGCGCGAGGGGAGACGGTGGTGGTGAGCATGGCGAGTCGCGTGACGGGCGTTATTGTTGTTGTTATTACTATTGTTGTTATTGTTGTTGGAGGGGTCGCGATGGCGGATGCGCGGTGGTGGGGGGAGGGGGATTTCGTGGTCCATCGTTGATTATTTGCCACTGCTGTGCAATAATGTGATGTAGTGGTATGTATTTCTTGTTTGGAATATCTCGTGTGACGCGATGCGATGCGATGCGATGCAAAGGAAGTAAGGAGGGTATGAACGAATGAATGAATGAATGGTATTGATGCGCTCAGTGGCTTTGGGCTGGATCACCTCACTCGGATCATGACGTCCGGTGGAATGTCGATCGATCGTCGGATGGGATGGATGGAAGAGTTCCGGAAGGATGGGGAAACTCGAGGTCCAGAGGGAATGCTGGATTCTGATTGATGTTATGTGCTGAGACTAAAGTTGTTTACGAGACGCGTCGCGGTGGAGCGGGGCGGTCGGTCTCCGCTTGATAACTTGACGGTGAACTGATTGATTGATTGATATTGATTGATAGCTACCCGGGAGGCCCGGATCTGCTCGGTTCAATTCTTTGCTCTTCATGCAATCTCAGTCAATTATTGTATGTAGATCCTTCTCTCGTTGAAGCCTCAATCTAGTACAATATTGAGAAGTTATGAATTGGACTAGACTGGCTGCGGCTGCCTCTTTCAGGGGCAATCGCATCAAAAGTACCAGTCTTGAAAGCGAAAAAGAGATTGGTACATTTGCAGTACTCATCAGGTGTTAATATTATTGATTATCTACATACTACCAGCATAAGGCACATCGGTTCACGCAATTGATTGGGTCGACCCTATACAAACACTATGCACAGCTTCCATCACGGCCGAACCCCGAAGCGAAGTCAAAAGTAAAAATAGGTAGAAATAAAGTCCATCCCAACTGCGGTATTCCACCAGCAGTCAAGCCATCAACTCGTCAAATCCGAAACATCATAAGGGGTATAATCAAGAAAGTATCCGTAGTAGATAGGCCCATTGTCCCGAGCACAGTCGATCACAATGTCCCGTGGAGAATCAATATAGGCGGTCGAAGCAGAGAATAAAAATGTTTGATAAATCGAGTCATGGTCGAAACCATTCCTCTCAAGGTTCCAGCGCGTGAAGAGTATGCGACAAAGCCGGCAGCGCTGAATTGACTTAGAGCGCGCCCAGGATCAGAGCCATAGATCCCGCAACCAGCACAGCAGGCATCTTGGCGACCATGCCGTCGGCTCCGGAAGTACCCACGGCAGGGGAAGTAGCAGCAGCAACCGAGGTGCCGGCGGGGGTGCTGGAAGTCACGGTGACCGAGGCGAACGAAGAGGCAGGCGCAGAGGAGCTGGCGGCGGCAGAGCTGCTGGCGACCCGGCTGCTCGAGACGGCGTGGCTGCTCGGAGTGACGAACACCGAGGAAGTCGAAGGTGCCACGCTGCTAGGAGAGGTCACGGTGTCGACGTGGACCAGCGTCGCGGTGACATAGTTGGTCACTGTCGAGGTACTGGTGGTGTCGGTTTCCGCAGCGACAAGCTGGGAGGCCATCAGGCCCAGGACAGAGGAGGCGAGAGTGCTGAACTTCATTGCGATGAGTTGCCGGTAATTCCGATTTGTTCAATTGAAAGATTTTCGGGCTGTGGATATGTACGTTGTCGCAAAAAGGCTCTGGCAGAGACTGCGCGAGTAGATCAAACGAGTGACGAAGAAGACGCAAAAGAGTGAGCGTCGAGAAGAGCAAAAGCTAGCGAGGGTAAAGAACGTGGGGAGCGCTGCTCGAGTCAAAGGATTGTGAAACGATGCGATGTCTGAAGACGCGCCGAAGGGGGAAAAAGGAGGACGAGGGGGGGTGGACTAAATATGAGCCCCAGAGTGCCAGAGGGTCCGTTTGGACCCACCCAACCAGTCAAACTCGAACCCTCACGAGCGCTGCCCCGGAAAAACTGCTTGACGAGTCGCAAGGGGCACGTCTCGCCTGCCTATTGGCCTGGGGCCCATTGAGAATGTGACGGGGGGCATTGTTCACGTCGACACGCCGTCAGTCGGTAAACAAATCACCCGGCCACGTTACTCGCCAGCACATCCATTGTTGCGCTGGCGGCGCCTGGCTGAGGCCCGGTCGGTGTGTGCCTGACTCCTTTTCAAGCGACGATCGCCAGTGTGCGGTGCTTGGCCGAGGATACGGTCTGCTCTAGTGAACTCACTAACCGCAGCGGCGTGAGGAGTAGCACACTGGATTGGCTTCGGTTCCTGAATTCTAGTGGTGGTCAGCTGGAGTCGCCTGAAGATTTCTTCCTCCACAACCGTTCGGCTGTGGCTCTTGGGAGCCGTGGTTGCCATGCCTCTGTGTCTCTTCATTTCACACACTCACCACGCTTCCGTTCCTCCTCACTGCCCCCTGGCTTGGGGATTCTAGTTTTGAGACCATCTGAAACTTGAGTAATTCGGAATTTAGCGGTCGATAGTCTGGGTTGGTATTCCGTAGCCAGTGCTGAAGCTGACGGTGAAAAGACCCCTGATGGGAGGGATGGCAGCAGATTCGGAAAGGAGAGCCGGCAGAAAGAGAGACAAACTCCACTGGTTCGTTCCTGACTAGCGAACGCTGCATCCACTCATCATCCACTTGGTGGCCCCAATGACTCTCGCATTTCCTTCTCAACCGCTTCGCCAAACTCCGGCCTATCCCGCTAGTCCTCTCTAGTCCGGTGCAGGAACCAAGGGACCATTGTGCCCTTGCAGCCGCAATTAAACTCAATCGTTGCGCATTTTTGAGCTGCAACTTCGCGCCATACGTATATGAACACTCTGGCCCCGGCTCCGATTGCTTGCGTCGTTTAAATGTCCGCTTTTCCGGTAAGTTCTAGAGGAATCGGTGTGCGAGCTAATACTAGCATGTCCGTTTCGATGAGATACATATGCTCATATAGGGGTTGCCGCGTCACCCTTTCAACCGATGTTATGAAGACTCTCCAAACAGGGCATTGCGATAAATGGAAAAGAAAATTTCTCTTCGAATACATTATTGGAGTACCTGCATGGCAATACCACCAAAAACAACTACCAATCCTGGCACACTCGGGATAGCCCCTGATGCCGTACTGGTGAGCAACACTAACACCGCCATCTTCGTCGCGCTAGCAACTGTGAGATGTCTGAGGCCATCTAGCAGGAATATGTCTCGTGGAATAGCTGCTCGTATATGGAACAAGCTAGTCAACAAGGGCCTTTTTCCGGTCGGCTATCCTTGTGTCTGCTGATGCCAAGGTGGGGGCCAAGCAGTAACACTGTTTATGAAGCCGTCAGTGAAGATAACATCCGCCGTAGCGGTAGAGAACTATGACTTGTAGAGATGATTGTAGCATCAATTTCAATTCGAGGGTACCATCTGGCGGTGGCATCCGAGAATGTGCCGGAGGCGCAAATCCATTCCCAGGTTCATCCGCAAGGAGAATGCCCAGCTGATCGTAAGGCTGAGTATTCGATCTAGCCCCATTTTATGTGCTTATTGAGAGTGAATACGATGTCGATCTGTTTCCGCCTTGCTGAGAGCCAGCTGTTGGATTCTCGGTGTGGCCCTGTCTGTTTTGCTTCCCATATTTTTCTGGAAAAGCTATCAGTCATTGGCAGGGGCTGAGGACCAGTCACGATGCCCTGATACAGACAAATGTGTCTCGCTGTTATATAGGCTGCTCTAGTGATGGCTGACACAATGCATAGCTGTTTTATATATACCGTAGTAGTAACCATAGCATGGATGCAAGTGCTGGCTGTAGATATGTGCGCTGTACAGGTGAATGACGCCGTGTATGAGGCCACTGATCCTATCACAACTATGGCCGCAGCAGCAGCTATGCCAGGCCTATTGGAGGATAGGTGTTGAGGATATAGGTAAGAAGATGCGCTATGGTGCGGTTATTGACCGGGGTTCACTTCAGGTTCTGACCGTGGTTGGAGCAATTCTCTGTCATATTATCTGTTTATATATAACTGTGGGGGTCTGAACCCTCACAAACTCCGAGGCAAAAGTACTTGAAGGCGGTTGTACTCATCGGGATAGAACTGTATAGCACTCGACTCGGCATATATATTCAGCAAGAACCCCTCTTCGCATCACAACACCTTGAGCCACATGGCTCCGCAAATAGAAGAGACACAAACCCAATAAGTCAGGCGGCAAATCCCCGCATTCCACACCCTACTGCTTACAGACATGATCTATCAATCCTCACATCAAGGCTCAGTCTTGTCAGAAGCACTCATGTGACGCCGACTACAAAGTTTTAACTACTCTTCACACTCGGCTTATTCAGACCCCATCATTGAACATGATGCCAATATATTCTTCAGTCGCATACTCGAGACCTCCTCTACCCCATCATGCCATAAAGTCCGCCCACTTGGACTACTACTACCTCAACATTCGCATCTACATGCCTTTCATTGATTGGAATAACTCTTACCGTCAGAGGCACAGGGTATGCAGACTTCTGCTTTTTGTCCTATGGCTGCTCCAAGATGACCATCCCGGATAATAAATCGAGCGATTTTGCATCAGATACGCTGGTTAATTGCAATGCGAGCAGTATAATAATGTATCGACGGGATCGAAGTGTCAGGGCGTCATTTGGGATAGGGTTGCTCCGGACGGGGTGATTCATACCTATTGATGTTCCATGAAGATAAATACAGCGGATATACAGAAGTCGGTGCCGTATGGTGTGATTTGCAATGTGTGATGCAAGTAACTGAACAAGAAGCAAGTATAGTGACTAAACGTTCATTTCCATAAACGAAGAATATCTTCTATCAACCCAGTCAAGCTCGTGTATTAATAAGTACTAACTATGCATGCCTCAATATAACAAAAACAACTCAAAATTAACATCACAGGTCAAGAAAGCAAATCCCCGACCCCAAACACATTATATACAAAGCCCCTTTTTACCAACCCATCTAAAACAGGACCTGCCTCACATCCTTATTATCCTTAATCTTAATATTCTTCATCATCAACACCCACGCAATCGACAGCGCCATGACCGCCGTACCCGCAATCATCATGTTCCGCTGACTCCAAGCATAAGCGTTCTGAATCGCAATTCTCGTCTCAGATCCCACCGGATAACTCAATTGCACATCCAACGACTCATAAATCTCCTCCCACTGATCCTTGGTCTCAGCGGGCAACAGCTCCCTCAGCTTCTGAGGAAGGGTATTAGTCCAAATAGCACCAGAGACACTAGCACCGACAGCACCACCAAGGTTACCGAATGTGCTCAGCAAGGCCAGCATAGCAGCGTAGTCTTCATGTCTAGAGGCCGCCAGGACAGCAACCTGCTCAATAAGAATCAAAGTACCTCCACCAACAGCCAGGAAGATCTGGCACATGCACATGTATCCGATGTTGAAGCCGGGCTGGCGGAAGTAGATCATCAAGCCGCTGGCCAGGAGGTAGAGCGGGACAGCCCACATGAGCAGCCACTTGAAGCGGCCGGTGACGCGGATCAGGTATCCGCAGCCGATCAGCCAGATGGGGTCCATGAGGTCGAAGATGGCGGCGATGTATCCGGCTTGGGTAAGGCTGGTGTTGTAGACTACTTGCAGGAAGGAGGTGAAGTAGCTGGCCCAGCAGTAGTAGGAGACTTGGTAGGTAATATCCAGGAGGCAGGCGCCGATGACGGTGCGGTTGGCGATGAGGTGGTAGGGGATGAAGGGCTTGGGGGCACCCCAGCGCTCGTAGGCGACGAAACCGACGAGGACGAAGAAGCCGACGACCATCATTGCGATAATCTTGGCGGATTTCCATTCCCCTTCGGTGTTGCCGGCGATGTTGAACGAGGTGAGGAAGAGGATTAGTCCGCCGATCATGAAGAAGATGCCGATGACTGGTTGGGAGGAGCATGTTAGTGGGGGGATTGAGGTAGTAGAGGAGTCATGGGGAGAAGGCTTACTGTCAAACTCGATGATGTAGAACCAGGTGCTCTGCCACCAGGTGCGAGTGCTTCGCGGCTTGTATTCCAGGCGTCCCTCCTTGTCTGCCTTGCGCTTGGCCAGTTCCCAGGTTATGACTAGAGGCATTGCGACGATCGGGAGGATGATGCAAATGGTTCCGTAGGCCCAGCGCCAGTTGGTCTCGTGGAATTGGTTGGAGAGGGGAGAGCCGGCAAAGGCAGTGATAATGTAGGGTGAGGAGGTGAAGGCGTAGGCGATACCTCGATTGCGGAGCGAGGATGTATCGGAGGTCATCACGTCGACACAGAAGATGACACCGGTGAAACCGACAGTGTAGAATGCCTAGTAGTGTCGGGTGGTTAGTACGATTGGGCATACCCATTAAAAGAGCAATTTCGTGTACACAGAGGGTAGAACTCACCTGGGCAGCACAGTACGTGGCAATGTTGTTGCAGCCAGCCATCATAATCAAGCCCATGATGGCAATCAACACCATGATGCAGACACCCAAAGTACGATCCCACAAGTTGAGCACCTTGGCAATAGGCATGACACAAGCAGCACCCATGACACTGGTAATAACGGTGATGACAGTGAGCAACGAGTGCTCCGAAAAGTCACTAGTGATATATGCGGAAAGGTTCGCGGTCAAGCTGCTGTTCAATCCATTGACGAAGTACAGAAGCCACATGCTATACACTATTCAGCAGTCGCTCGGAAGGAACATGAACCAAGTCACTCACGAGGCATAAGTGATAATCAGAGATTTCTTCGACCAAGAAGCAGTAACTGCTTCAGCGACGCGAACACCATCCTGCTTATCCTGATCATCCTCGACAGGCTGCTGAGGAGTATCGGGATCCAAAGAGATCGGATCCTCACTGACCCCGGTAGTGGTGGGAGGCTTGTCAGTGGCCATTTTTGAAGGGAAAAACACAGCGATATGCCCAAAGCGCCTATATCATCAGTGGTAGGAGAAAGTTTCAAGAACTGATCGGCATCGAGGGAAGGATATGCGCCATGTTATAAAGGCTTGACATGGGACGATGAATTCTTCGCCTCCCACGCACGTCCCACACCATCCCAAAGCTTTCCCAGACTCCAATTTCCTGAGCGACCAACGCGAGAAGGAATTTGCGCTGGCTGTGGGTGCTGGTTCAGGCTTACAGTGGTAGTGGAACTCTAGGCAGTCTTGTCCTCTTGGCAAGCTGGCGACACCCCGTTCCACTTCGGATCAGATAATTCTCGCAGCTTGTGTCAGTGTGGTTCCATCAGAAGAATCATCCCCAAAAGTTTGTCTGCTAAAACCGTTGGTTTTTGCCACATTTACATACATCTAGATCATTTAATCGAGCTCACGATGATTTCATATACTATGTTGTAGTAGTCTCCTAATGCTGGTGTAAGGGTCTGGCGTCCCTGCTCCACTTAGACACTCCTCCCCTAATTTGTTTCCTGGCTCCTCATTGCACCATGACGCCTTCTAGCCCCCACTGTTCCGCGACTGCTGGTGGTCTGCTGTTTTACCGCGGGGCCCGAAAGGACCCGATTTCCAGCGCAATGATCTTGTTATGGTTCCTAGTGACGGTGACAAGCGGGCCGTGATAACATCGAGACCCACGGACATGGCACTGATGATGGAAGATAAGATGGATAAGAATTCAAGCTGGATTTGAGGGCATGAAAAAAGAGACCAAGGAAGGTAAGTAGGCCTTCAATCTCGGTAATGCATGTCATCCATGCAAGAAGATTGCAAGAATCCCACGAGAGGACATGATCATCATCACCACCACATAAGCTAGGGGTGAATATGGGCCAGCTCCTCCCCTCCCCTCTCCATCGGAAAAAACCCGGCCATTTTTCCGCAAGAGCAAAACCGCACCAGCCGCACCAAAATCCCGAACCCTTCCAGCCTGTTTTTAACGAGGGGGGCCCGGTAAGGGAAAGGTTCCAAAACAAGCCTAGTCAAGCCCGAAATATACTTGGCGGGTGCCACTAAACCTTATTCGCCGTATCTTATCTGATTTCGTATCGCACAATACCAGATCAAGACACACACACTGCGTGAAATCCCCGGCACCAAATCCATCTAAGAGTTCCCTCGAACCATGCCAAATTTGGATTCCACCTAGGCCGGGGGCGCTAATAACCTCTGCTGCTACTCCAGAAAATACCTCCCCCGGCGGAACTTACTAAATGGCTGCCTAAATCTCTGCCATGGGTTAATCCCCACATGGGAATATTCATGTTTTCCTCTAACCTCCAGAGATTGATAACGCATGACTCACTCGTGACCTACAGCCAAGAAGTAAGCGAGGTGTGGATCATGTTGTGCGTAGGAATGCGCTCTTGGCATGTCCTTGGCGGGTTGGAAGAGCTTTTCCGCCGTTAGCTGATGCTGGGCATCGACTTGTGGAATGGGATTGTGTGGAAGGCATACGTAAAAGTAGACGCTTCAACTATTAGCTCAGAGAAAAATCTTTTGTCTGAACATAAAGAAGCTGAGATGCTACGTAACAGGCTTGAGTCATGGTCAGTGAAATGAATTCTGCGCTTCCAGAGATCGGACTAGCAGAAGCAGGAAGAGGGCAAAGCAAAATTTTCGAGAGGACTCTCTAGCAGTAGTCCTGAGAAGAATCTCCTGTATGCACGTGGCAAGCATTCTGGCATGCTATACTTCGCACTAACCTCAACAGAACTATACCGCTCAGACGGCCATGTCCGCCCAGATCGCAGATGCAGCCAGTCCACTGTTAGCACAGTGGAGCTACACGATCATTACCATGGCTCTTGGTTTCCATTGCCGCTGGACAATATCCGAGGAGAAACCGTCAGGTGAATGTGGCCTACAGGTAGAGAGGCCTTAATCTATTCGCAAATGTCATTAGTCCTCAACTCCTCGTCCAATCTCCAAGGTCAAGCCATTCTTCAGGTGGCCAAAACAGTCCCTATCCCTGTAGGGTTGATACAGCTAATCAGAAATAGTAGGAATAAATGAATAGCTTTCAGCCGCTCAGCCTATAGTCAGCCTAGCTACTCAATATAGGCGCCAACCGCGCTATAAGGCGGTACCTGAAAGAAGGCGCCACACACCCAAAACCTGTTATGGCCCCCTAGGACCGGCGGAAGTCATATTACTGGCTATTAATCACGAAACTAGTGTCTTTGAAAACGACCTAGGGGCTTCAACGAAAGTAATAGCTTAGGAGATCTCCGAACTCGATATAAACTTGTCATGGCGCCGTTATCGGCCTTGGTTTGATCGCCCATGGATTCTGGCTCATTGTGTAGAAAAGGGCCAAGAGTAAGAGACGTAATCCTCGCACTATAGTAGTGGTATTCGATCTAGTGTGGGAGGGAGGTTGCTGCTTAGACTTGAGTAACAGGTTAAGGGGTGGTTCGTGTAGTAAGAATCGCACATTTTTTGACATAATGGAAGCAGAGCCTGCGCGAAAGAAAGGGGAAAGATTACCACAAACGTTTTCAGTATTACTTTCTCAGATTGATTGCATGATGCTGACTTGGGTTTGCTAGAATCACGTCGTTTCTGTTCCCTGGCGTATATTTCTGACTCCACAACCCGACTTCATTTCTTAAAAATGGCGGTAGGTAGCTTCTCATGGCCAGACCATTCAACTGTTTCATGGTACTCCTTGGTCCCGAATAGTGCTAAATCGTGTGATAAGAGCTCTTGCCTCAATCAGGTAGACCACCCTCCCCCGCCTTCAACTTCATCTGCACGAACCCTTCCATTTCCGCCCTCTCATCAGGAGTCAAGAGCTTGACCCGATCGCTCAAGTTACCATCCCCAAAGAACCTCCGATCGATCTTCGCCCAGTATATCATATCGAACGCCCAGCTCTTTCTCGCGGCGTAGTTCAGCCAGAAGTCACCGCTTTCCCAGCTTCTGAGCATATGTCCTGACAGTCTATCGTTCTCATTTATGAATCCTCGATCAATGGCTGCTTGCTCTCTGTCCTTGAGGGCTCTCAGAAACACCGGCAGCACCTTCTCATATCTTGCTATCCAATCATCTAAACCCTGTTTCCAGATTTCTGGCAGCTCGAGTAACAACCAGAACGGAGGCCTATGAGCAAACCCTGTAGGGGCTGCGTAGGTGAACTCCCAGTCCACCACGCCGGTCATCTGATGCTGGGCACTTGATAGAATGTTGCCAGGTCGGAGGTCGTCACAGAACAATTTAAAAGGGCCAGCGTCGTCATTGCACAGCTGATTTTCGCGAGTGATCTTGCGAAACAGACATCGTGCGATGTACTTCGTTCGACAATCTTCCGCGGAATCGATCGCGTTGTTTCGTTGGGAAGCCAGGTGGATCATGTGCATCTCAGCTAGTGCTTGGTAGTACGATGAGGTTGTTTTGAACGTGCTTTGGGGAAGTAAGTCTGGTGACACTCCACCCAACTGAACGAGCTCGTTCATGTTAAAGGTAAGCAGCCGATGCTTGACTACCCAGGTATCATCGAATTCATCATCCTCATTAGCTTTACCGATGCATCCAATCTCGGCAAAAGAATGCCTCGATACCTGTAACATGATATCTGCCATCTGACCATAAACCCATTCAAGTCTCTCTTCCGAGACGTTCGGGTTTAGCATCGGTCTCTCGTCGCGTGATCGGCCCGGTACATTGAGGGCATCAATGACGTCGCCTTCGTTGCTAATATGCTCCATGATGATAAAGGGTCCTAAACCCTTTGGGCTCTCCTCTGTCATTCCATGATGAAGGATATGAGGGATGGGTAGACTGGTAAAATACTCCAAAAACTGCATCACTGCCACTTCGCGCTGAACCTTTTCCTCGGGGAACATGGAAGCATCCGGACACGGGAATCGAATGATGGCAGAGCCTCCATCTTGGAAAAGCAATCGTAGCCAGGCATTGAAGGAGCCTCGTTGGGGCGCGAAAAGCTCTTGGGGACACCTCCTCTGTGCTTGTCGATGAATCGGCCTATTTCTCGGAGAACGTCTGTTTGGAATAGCTTGTGTCTCCAGGGTGCGAAAGTCCTGTCGCATTTGTCACATAAAGTGTTGTCGTAGTCCATGCATTGGGATTCGAGGATGGGAGGGGGCGGGTTTTGTCATCATAGCAAGATGACACGGTTCTGTGTGACTTCACAGAAATCGTGTCGTAGGACTATAACGCACATTGAATGCCATCGAAAAAGCAATAGCATATCAACCACCTTCCTATTATCTGCCGGCTTCAGGTATGCGGAACGTTGCTGCTGACCTCGGTCGAGTAGCACAGAATTCAGGCTAGAGGGCTTCTGCAGGTAGAAGCATGGCCCTGATAGTGCTTTGAGTATTCTCTTCAAGCAAACGCCTGATGTCACCGCTTTCCATAATTGATAGCAAACGTAAGAAACCGATAACAGTGCAGTGGACCATATGCTGTTAGTGCTTATTCTCATCCACCAATTCTCCCTCTGGCGGTCTATAATTGTGTAACCCGAGCTGCCATACGTAGATCAAGTCGTAATCAATGCATGCGCTTCCGAGAAGTGCTCAGACCACACGCAATGGCAGACACTCGAGTCATGAAAATTTGCGATGATCATGTTTGTGGCGCGGGGTAAGCAACGCTGGTTGTAGTATGCCAGAGAGCCTCGGAAAGCCCACGATTATTCCCCACCGACCTAGTATTCCGATCGCGAGAGTTTGAAGGGGTCCGGTCGGTTATCTTGGCAAAATGGAAGATCATCTTCGGTAATGGTGTGGTATCATAACTCCCATATCTCATGTCTAAAAGTATGTGTGATGGGGCCGAAAGGAAGAGAAATGAGTGATGCGACCTGTAGAGTTTTCCAGAGTGGTGTGGAAGCAGATAGATCACTCACGACTAGTCGATTCGTCCTAATATGCGGTTTCTTTTGACTCGTCTCCGGAAGTAATCAGGGTGCTGCAGGGAAGAAGCCATCATGGACACGTGGTGTATGATGTTGTTGCCTGCCAGGATTGTTGTGAGTACTATCTCGTGGGGCAAATATCGCTCCAAACGAATTTTTGCAAGAAGCGGACGCGGTTAAGGCTTCTGGTAGCTGGGAGGAGGAACGGCGCAGGTAAACATTGAGACTGATGTGGGCGATTTGCTGTAGAGAATACTGCCACACGAGTTACCTAAAGTCAGGTCCTGAATAGCAGCAGTGCCCTGGTTATGAGCGTGATGCAACTGAAGTCATTGCAGGGTTTTGCCCAAGATTATGGTAGTGTCCGTCAAATTCCGAAGTGCGGCCCCTGAAAGAATAACGGTTCACGGGAGAGACATCCGGGGACTCGTCTGGCTCCGACCCGGCCAGTTCACTGAAACTGAATGGACAATACATCCTTAGCGATTGGCGGAGAAGACAGCCTGCAGGGTACTTGAAAAGCTTGCGCAGACCCCGGCACACCATCCGGTTGCATTGGGAAATGGAAAAGCCAGGTCAGCATGAAGAACAGTGGGAGTGGGTGGGGATGGTTGGCTGTTAGAGAGCGGGTAAGGCTGAAGCACATCCCACTCGCTTTGCGGTACCGGATCCACTGCACGCGCTATTCACCCCCTTAGGGCCCTCATTCTCTGTGCTGGTTTGTAGGAGAAATCGTGGCTCTTTAGTCCCGCCTTTGAGGGGAGATGAGAAGATTTTCTGTCGCCTGATAAGAAAAATGATTCCTTCCCTTCTGACTCAAGCATCCCTCCACACCATCCCAATGTCCCTCTCTACGCCAACTCCCAGTCTCTGCTTTCTTTTGCCAGGATGCAAGGCCTAAAGCAGCATCTTACTCTGTTTAGGAAGCTCACCCTAAAGCTCATATGTGCTGCAATCTGCTTTGGCTTATCGGGCGCTGCCCGGGGTCCGTTGTCCCCCTCCCTTTCCTTGCATCCTGGCGAACTGACACCTTATAGGGCTTGATTCTGGGCTTATCGCCAGCACTGTGGCAGAACAATCGTTCGTTGACCAGTTCCAACTAGAGGCCGACTATCTCAGTGCATCCCAAAAAGCCAATCGCTTGTCGAACATCACCTCTATGGTCCACATAGGCAGCTTACCGGGGGCTATAGTCGCATTTCTGTGCAGCGAGCGCATCGGAATCCTTTGGACCTTCCGTCAATGTTGCTTGATGTGGATCATTGGTTCTATAGTGTTTATCACGTCCCGTGACCTTGGGCAGGTATATGCCGGTCGATTCATAATGGGTCTTGGTATTGGACAGTTTGGTGTAATGGCCCCGATCTACCTTGGGGAGGTGGCACCCAGAGAAATTCGCGGAATGCTTGTAGGCTTATATGGCATGTCAGAATATCTGGGAATTATGATTGGGGTGAGCATAGTGATAATCTAAAAGGAAATGCGTGACTCAGCTTACTGACCTCAACAGTACTTCTCAATATGGGGAGCATCCATTCACATCCCCGACTCGAGTGCGAAACAGTGGGTCATCCCGCAAAGTGTTCAGATTATGTGGGCAGGTCTGCTGCTGATCGCTTCTCTGCTCTGTGAGGAGAGCCCTCGTTTTTTGTGTCGAAAAGACCGTCCTCTGGCAGCACTCCAGTCTCTTGCACGACTATGGAACGTGTCACCACTGGATCCGGGAATACATGTCGAAATTTCAAATGTCAAGATTCAGCTCAAACTTGAGCGCGAGGTGGCATCACGATCAGGTCTTATTGGGGTGCTGAAAGAGCTTTTTGGGACAAAATCCCACTTGAAACGGATCGCCTTCGTGTTCATCCTGCAGTGCTTGGGCGAGTGGTCCGGCCCCAACTCGGTGACTAGTAAGTCTCAGCCCTGGAATCAGAAGTACGCACACTGGGGCTAATTTGCCAACCCTAGCATATGCCCCCGAGTTATTCGGACTCTTCGGTATTCAAGGCCAATCGCAAAAGCTCTTCACGACGGCGGTCTTTGGTGCTGTCAAGTTTGTATTCGCGCTAATTTCGGCAATCTTCTTGATCGACTATCTGGGCAGGAGGAAGACATTATATATCGGCCTCGTGCTTCAAGTTATTGCACTGACCTATGATTCGATATTTCTCACTATATTTAGCTCCCTATCTGGTCAGTCGCAAGATGATCCAGCAGTAAGGCATGCTGCTATCGGCGCAATTGTGATGATTTATTTCATCGGCATTGGATGGGCCCTGGGTTGGAATTCAATCCAGTATTTGATCACGGCCGAGTCCTTCCCACTGGGGGTTCGGATCGCAGGGGTCACTCTCGTTACACTGTGGCACTATGCCAACCGGATCGGCATTTCCAAGGTTGGTTCCATGTATATCCTTGGCGCAGATCAACTGCCGGATGATATTGACTGAGTTCCCTTTTCTACTTAGGCAACCACATTGATGCTGCTCGACCACGACTCTCTAACCCCCAAAGGTACTTTTTGGTTTTTCACTGGGATGTCCTTGCTTGGTCTCCTATTTACATGGTGTTTCCTGCCCGAAACTGCTGGTAAGGGGCTGGAGGAGACCAATGAGCTGTATACAGGGGATCGGGGAGGCACAACCCCGCACGACCAAAGGGACGCTGATTAGAGTCGGAAGATGAGCGGAATTTGCCCGCCTCTCTGTATCTACTCAAAAATGAGTTTGAATCGTTGGGAACCAACTAAGGTTATATCCGTTGACAGCCAAGAGACCGCATATTTCCGTTATTCCTCACACTAAGGTTCGGGCTATCAAATTACCCCGCAAGCCAAATTGCTCGTAATTCTCCTTCCACTCCTCCTTAGTGGGTCGAGTTAATCAATATGCTCCGCCACAGTCGACTTCAAGTGGGGTAAGCTTTGGCATGGTGCCAGATATCGGTCAGGCTGCGTATCTCAATTGGCAGAGGAGGTTCCAAGCTAGATGGTAGGTGCTGTCAAAGCGGAATGCCATTCCACAATGGCGCCTGTCCTTGCAGCTGAATGTCAGGTTTTTGCGAAGTATAGCCGAGGAATGAGCTTCTGACACAGTTCGTATTCTATAAATCCGAACGTGTCCGTATGGCTTTTTCTGCACTGAGGAGCTTTCTTACAGTTTGGCTACCATTATTCGAGCCACCTGTTGGCTGATCGACTGCGGCGCGCAACATGGAGAATTCTTTTGACTATATTATCTGCGGGTTAGTTTCGCTTAATATAGAGTGTGCTTTTGGTCTCATCTTTGTCTTCGCTATAGCTAACTGCTCGCTTCTACTCTCAGGGGTGGCACCTCAGGATGCGTGGTTGCCGGTCGCCTGGCTGAGAATCCGCACATAAGGATTCTTATCATCGAAGCTGGACAGCATAATAAAGATCTGGAGAATGTTCATATGGTTGGCGGGTTCGTACGCGCGTTACACTCCTCGAATTTGGTTCAACCTTCTAACTTAACTAGCTGGGGTAATCTGCTCGACTCTTCGACAGACTGGAACATTGTCACTCCGCCCATGCCAAACGTCAATAATCGGCAAGTTAAGCTCAGCAGAGGAAAATTTCTAGGAGGTTGCAGTGGTTGCAATGGGACCCTTTGCATACGCGGAAGCAAGCAAGATTACGATGACTGGGGTCTGGATGGGTGGAGTGGCAAGGAATTCTTCAAGTACATGCAGAAGGTAACTACTGTCATATCCATTCACTAAAAGCCGGAGGGGGGATTGAGACACATAAATCTAATATCTTTCTTCCAGGCCGAAACGTTTCATACCAAACCCTGGTTTAAGGCGTCCGATCAGCATCATGGAAACTCGGGCCCCCTTCACGTCGAACCACATGATCTCGCGCCCATTTCCGAACGCATCATGGACTCTTTCGTTTCGCAGGGCCTTCCATTGGATCCTGACATGTTCACAACTGGTGAGACATCTCATGGGTGTGGTCATGTACCACGGTCAGTGTACAACGGCATCCGCACTACCAGTGGAGACTTCGTCACAAATGGGTACCATCGCAACAATGTTACAATAATGACAGAGACCACTGTGGACAAAATACTCTTCAAGAAGACCCCAAGTGGGCCCAAAGCGGACGGTGTCTCGGTGGTAACAGCAAATGGGCGACGGACACTACATGCCAAGAGGGAGATAATTATCAGCAGTGGATCTTATTGCAGCCCTACAATTCTAATGAGGTCTGGGCTAGGTCCGAAGGAAGAGTTGCAGAAACACAACATTGAATGTTTGGTCAACCTGCCGGGCGTCGGGAAAAACCTCATGGATCATTTGGTAGGTGCTCTATGGCAGATTCATCTATAAAATTGCATCTAATCAGAACTGTCCAGATTGTTTTCATGTTCTATGAGACAGAAAAGCCTGGTCTGACGACCGACCATCACGTCTACCACGGCGATAGTTTTGACAAAACCTACGCGCTTTGGAAGGAGAAAAAAGAGGGATTTCTGTCAACCTTCCCTTTTGGCTCCTTTGCCTTCGCACGTCTAGATGAACGTCTTAAGAATGAGCCACTGTGGAAGAATGCGCCACGACAGCCAGGCCGTGATCCCATGGGTTTGACACCCAATCAGCCGAATGTTGAGCTCTTCACTACGGAATGTTACGGCGGTCCTAAGCAGTACGATCAATTTCCTATTGATCACAAGTACGCATTCTCAATCATCGCCGAATTGTTCTCGCCTAGGTCTCGCGGTAGTGTGACGCTGAAATCTAAGGACCCCTTGGAGAAACCTGTAGTGGACTGCAATTACCTCGCAGACCCACTAGATCTGCTTGTGTTAACTGAAGCATGTAGATTTGCAAATGAGATCATTACCAAGGGCGCTGGGACGAAGGGCATCGTGAAAGGCTCTTGGCCTCCTAATCTGACCCACCACACTTACACGAAGAGAGAACAGTGGATACCTTATGTGAAAGAACATGCGACAACTTGTATGCCCTCTCTTCTGTCTGTTGGCACCACTCATACTGATTGACTATACTAGGCTACCACGCTGGGGGTACCTGCGCAATGGGCCCAGATGGCGATACCAATGCTGTTCTCGATAACAAGTTGCGTGTTCGTGGCGTGACCGGACTCCGAGTGGCAGATTGTAGTGTCATGCCAACTCTGAACGGAGGGCATACTCAGATGCCTGCTTATGGAATTGGCGAGAAATGTGCGGACCTCATCAAAGAAACGTGGGCATCCCAGGCCCTCAATGTGGCGAAGCTTTGAGGTTTCTTTTCGTATTGGTGCCAACGGTGCGGCTTTGGGGACCGGCAACCGTCTGGTTCTAGTAAAGCTGTAGATTTGCTTGGATATTTACGTTATATATGTGTCATGAGCTACGACGCCTTTCTCCGATGTTAAAGACTTCAATTACTTAGTTCCATAGTTTCGTCCCCACTATCTTTGTCAAAAAATAGATCAGACGATAAATTCGCAATGAGAGACTGGAGCACCGATATGGTTATAATTTCACTCTTCTCAAGCTAGCCATCTCGCAGTAGGTGTATGCGCTGATCAACTTAATGCCTTCAAAGTCGAACAGGAAGCATCGGACGTATGGGGTTTCATATTTGCACGATCTATAGGTTCAACCTATCTCGTTCTTTCAACAACAAGGTTGTGTAGTGTAATGGTTATCACTCTGGATTCTGATTCCAGCAATCCCGGTTCGATCCCGGGCACGACCTTTTTGTATCCTTGGCATCATGGTCCGAGCCATGAATTTTTGTTTCTCCCACCAAGTGTTTCTATTATCCTTACCTAAACAAACCTTGTCATATTATCCTCTTCTTGCTCCAATTCCCTCCCACCTCGGCCTCAGCTACCCGATTAACAATGATATCACCCACCCGACAACCCCCTAAACACCCAATAACAACCACCTCCCGGTCAGCCTTGTGGGCCCAACCGCCAATTCAACTTCAACGCTACCCACTCCTTACGATGCCGATAACCCGTCCTACCAGCCAACCCACTACAATGCGCCATTGCCATTTGTCCGTCCTCCCTTAGGGCTGTCGCAGTAAGGCTGATAGCGTGCTTGCGTGCTCCCAGCAGAAAATGGCGCGTGAAGAAAGAATAAAAAAAACGCTGCGATGTACAGGATATCCAGCCAGATCGATATGTTCCCAGTTTCTTTTTCTAATTCCGCTCGGAGATTTTCGTAATAAGGGGGCTGCTCTGGTTTGCCTTCTTTCATTTGCAGTAAAGTTTCCTATCTATTTATGGAGATATTCTCCCCCCTCTTCTTAGGGTTTAGGGTGCTGAAGAGGGGGTGGCTAGACTCTTCAGTTCTTTCCATCTGTGATGGCGTTTCGTAACTTTGTCTTTCAATCTATCTTTTCTGCATGTCTTAATCCGATATAGTCGGTGGTATTATCATTGCTTGCTTTGCTGCATGCATATATCATCTTAACTTTATCCTTGTACATATCTCATCACCTTATAACTATCTATACTACGGCTCAGGAATGTCAGAGCCCTTCCACCCCGCGAAATCACCGGCTCTCCCGGTCGTGGAATCCTCCACAGACACCAAGTCCCCTCAATCCCAGCAGACGAAAGTGCGCCGATTAAGAGAGACAGTCGATAGCAACTATGCCGACATCATCTGTATCATTCTGTGCTTCGTCACGGGGCTTTGCGACAGCTCCGCATTCAATGCGTGGTCATGCTTCTTAGCTATGCAAACCGGTACATCTCCCCTTCCCCTTTATCCCACCACCCAAATCCCATAACCCATTACCATAATACTAATATTGAAAATTAATAACAGGAAACACCGTCGTCCTCGGCCTCGGCGCCGCCTCCCTCCCCAAAGACGACAGCGACAGCTGGCTAAAATCCATCGTGTCAATCGCCAGCTTCGTGACCGGCTCATTCATATTCAGTTTCGTCGGACGACACCTTGGTCCCGCGCGTCGCGGAACCCTCTTCGCTTCCTTCATGGTGCAAGTGATTCTCATCGTGATTGCCGTCTCCCTGATCCAGTCTGGACTTATCGCGGAATCCGAAGCCGACGTCATCTCTGGCCACCACCATGGCGGCAAGCTCCTCGAGCTGATTCCCATTGGCTTGCTGGCGTTCCAGTCCTCCGGGTCTATTAATAGTACGCGCTCGTTGGGATTTAATGAGATCCCGAGTGTGGTTATCACGAGCGTGTATTTTGATATTGCGTCGGATAAGAACATCCTGGCTGTGCAGAATGTTAAGAGGAATAGGAGAATTGCGGGTGTGGTGGCCCTGTTGATTGGAGCTATTGTGGGCGGTTGGTTGAATAGGAGTGCTGGCGGGATGGCGTCGACTTTTTGGTTGGCGGCGGGGATTAAGTTCCTTATTGGGTTGGGGTGGTTGGTTTGGATGCCTGTTAGGAACTAGGTTGTTGGACGGGGGTGGGTTGGGGGAGTGGTGTGATCGCTTGGGTATGATGGTTAGTGAGGTATGTATGTGGTGTGTGTGTGTATGTAGGGAGGGAGTGCGATTGTATAGTATTTTGTTCGGGGGCGTTGTTGTATAGAAGGGTGGGTAGACATGGTTTTGGAAAAATAGAAGGTATAGATTTCTTTTTTCATGCTTATTTTCTGAGTAGGGTGGGTGCGAATGTAATCGTTAGTAGCATCATACTTCACAGATAGAAACAGCCAAGTTAAGTTGATGATCAATATAGTGAGGAATATACCAGCACTTGCTATGTATGCATCATTCATGACTTCCATTATGATTAACACAACCGGTCCAGGACGCTCGATACATTGCGAAGCATCAGGTGACTAGCGGACAGGGTGAGTTGCCCTTCGATATGTACATGATACTGCCACTGCTGCTCTGCTCTGTCTTGCGTCTCGGCGATGAACATGTCATTCCTTGTTCCATGTTTCAGGATACGCTATCGTACAGTCTTCCTCCACCTCACAAAGCCCACATCCCTCAATTGGTATAATTCCATCTTCTCATCAATTATTTAGTCGCGCATAGGGCGCAGAGGGCTCTGACGGGGGAGCATCATCGGGGGTCCGCGAGCGCGGAGCCAGGCGTCGTTGTGAGGGCCTTCGGTACGAATAACGCTGCCGATGGACATGAAGAGACTATCAAGAGAGTATGGTTAGTATCAAGCAGTCGAACATACAGAAGCGATGAATAGACGTAGAATCGCAAGGAATTGCGCAGAACATACCCAAAAGTAGCACCAGAACCAAGCATGTATTTACCCAGGGTACGCATAACACCGTTAGGTCCAGCTCCGTACTGGAAGATGGTGACAGTTCCTGCTTCATATTAGTCGGATTCAAAGGAGGGGTTGCGTTTGCATAGACGAACCGATGATGAAACCCATGATACCTCCAACAGCTGTTGGAAAAGGATTAGTACCGTAATAACTAGCATGCAAACTTGTTCAACCTACTGGATCCCATCATGGCACCCATCTTCACTGTAAATTAAGTCAGTAAATCAGTACGGCAGATTGAGCGAAACTCATTTAGCTGGTGAATGGCATGGGATCCGGTTAACTAACTCTTCTCAAAGGTAGAGGGACCATGCCCTTGAGGGGGACCAGCAACGACGGGCATGTTGAATGATAGTTAATAAATATACAGCGAGCGCAAAGAATTTGACAGCACAAGACCAGTTTCCCTCAGACGGTCGATTCCTCCGGCTTCAGTCTTCTAGAGTCGGCAGCAAAGCTCCAACGGTGGGCGCATCGAAACCCGAGGCCCAGAAGCACGTGACACCGCCTGCCGTATTGAGAACCAAAGGTCCGTGCGGTGTTACCTAAGCACACGTGTGTTCACACGTGATTTTTGGCCTCAGGCGTAGGGGGACGAAGGAAGCCGTGAGCTGATCGGCTCTTCTCTCCCGCCGCAAGTTGGTGGCTCTCCCCATGAAGTCTGCTCCTGAATCGTCTGATCCAGTGCCTCGACTTACTTTTTCGGCGGCTTAGGAGCCTGTGCAAGGCGGTAGTTCCGTCTCGTGCCTCCGTCTTCGTCGCTGCCCGGTCGCTTGGTCCGTTCACTCCTCGGTTCGGGCCAAGACCTCCACGCCTCCTTGGTCAGGACTGAAGCGCCTTCTTGCCTCACCATCAGATCCCTTTTTAGACTCAACTGTTCATACTCATCCTGCCGTGGTAAGTTTGACTTGCTAGCTGTTGGGTCTCGCATGGCACTCGACGATGGCAGGCGCTGTTGCGTCGATGCGGAAACGGACTCGATGTTTATATGAGGGTCGTCCGGACAATTGCTAACGTGACCTCTCACCAGCCGAACGGACTGTATTCACGATATTTCCGCGCGCCTACCGTCGCTACAAACATTTTTGCCTTCGAGGTCCGTCGCGACGGGCACTCACGGGCGGTTAGCATCCGAACGCTTCTCCTTGCATACGTTGACGATCCTCTTTTTCCGTTGAGCGGACGAGCGCCTATGAGATAGAGCTCCTTTCCATCACACTCATCATACGCTATCCTTCTCCATGACTGCTGTGGCATCACCACCTAGTGTGCAATCGGGCCCTCACTTGGGATGGTTCGACTCTGGTAACGGAGGACAAGGTGCTCTGTCTTCAATGGACGCGGAAGAAGTTTCACGAACATTTTTGCCGCGAAGGACTGTTCAGAGATCGAATTCCTCCTCTTCCCTAGCATCTACTTCATCAACCTCAACCGCTATAGTCACGCCGCAACCCCCTAATGCGGGACACGTGAACAACGTCGAACACGCTACATGGTCAGCAAAGAAGAAATCCTCAAGAAATAACTGGACAACTTCTAAGTCAGAGCCGGTGGCTGGGCTGAGCAGCGCCCGCTCCCAGGCTATGCCAGCCTTTTCTTCGGGCCCAGGAGCCTCTTCTACTATGACCGCGATTCACCAGCCGTCTTCCATTGTTCCATCTCAACACATGCTTCAAGCATCACAACAAAATGGCGTACGCGCCGCGAGCGCACCAGCAGGCGATCCTCCCGCCATTCTCACACTCTTACCCATCAACGGTACCTTCGACAAGAAGCAGATCAACGTACCCTTCTATCCGGACCTACTACGCATAGGCCGTCAGACAAACGCCAAGACTGTGCCAACCCCGGTGAACGGTTACTTCGATTCCAAGGTGCTGTCTCGACAGCACGCCGAGATCTGGGCAGACAAGAGCGGAAAGATTTGGATCAGGGATGTCAAGTCGTCAAACGGTACTTTCGTCAATGGGCAGCGGTTGTCTCCGGAGAATCGCGAATCAGAACCCCATGAGCTTCGCGAGAACGATACCTTGGAACTCGGAATTGATATCGTCAGCGAGGATCAGAAAACGGTTGTTCATCATAAGGTTTCCGCCAAGGTTGAACATGCCGGTATATACAGCAGCATTCCGAATATCTTGGACCTCACACTAGGCGACTTGGATCCTGCTTCTGGAAATGGACTGCTCCCGTCTCCCCTTAGTCAACCGATGTCACATCTCAGAGGACGATCGGGAAGCACCATGAGCAACCGTAGTGCTCAGAGTGCAGCCAGCAGTCAATTCAACGCAATACAACAACAACGTCAGATGAACTATTGGAATTCCCCTATATCTATAGAACAAGTTGTCAAGCGACTTACGGTATGTCATCAAGGTCACATTCGCAGCGAGCTTGCTCTAACACGATTTCAGAGTGAAATGAAACAGGCTAAACAACAGTCACAAGAGCTCCGGCAAACGGACGAGTTCTTGACTACTATAATGAAACCCGGATATGCGGAGAAGGAGAAACCGAAGCCTTCACCAGCGGATAATAATGCACCTCGTCCAGTTAATGGGCGGCCAAAGATGCCTCGCGTAGATTCCTTCTCTCGCTTTTCGGACCCTCCAGCTCCTCCACCGCAGCAACCCTTGCCCGAAAAGCCCGATGCTTTGCCACGGAACGGCACAGACGCCCTATCGCCGTTGAAGCGATCCGAGACAGAAAAGTCCAAGCTTGGCCCGAACTCGCCCGTTACGCGTGAAAATAGCCAGATCTTGTCTCTCATTGAGGCGCTGTCCTCCGCCAAAAGGGAGCTCGATAGCCAGGGTGCTCGTGTTAAGGAGCTAGAAGCGTTGCTGATTCAGGAACGAAATGCTCGTGAATCTGCCGAGGAGAAGGCCCGGAGCTTGGAGATGAAATCCATTCAGCCTGCTCCAGGCCTCACCGCAGATGCTGAATCCGAAGACAGCACTAAGAACTTGACTGAAATGGAAGAGCCAAAGACTACGCTGCCGGATGCCGAAGCCTCGATCGATTCTGATGCACCCGCTTCTGAAAAGGAGTCCTTGGCAGAAAGTCAAACAGATGTTTTACAACGTCGTCTCGAGTCAATGATACTGGAGATGGAGGAGATGAAGAAGCAAGTCACAATGTTCAAAGACCGGGCAGAAGTCGCGGAGAATGAGACTGTTGAGGCGCGGAAGTCGCTGGCGGAGATGATTGAAACTCTGCGGCAAGAGCGCGCAGAGCGTGCTCAGGGCAAAGTAGTGTCTGGTGCCCAGACAGATGCTCCTGCTCCTGCTGGTTCTCCATCTGAGCCACAAGAGTCCGCCGAAGAGAAGGGCAGCGTGTGCGCTGAGCAACCACAGCTCACTGCGACGCCGTCAGGTACAAAAGCGGTGGACAACGCAAACACGACGTTTGCGACACAATCACACCGCCACGACGTCTTAGAGCAATCCAGTCCTTTTGCTTCTATGCTTGGAGTGGTGCTCCTCGGCGTTGGGCTGATGGCTTACCTGAACAGCTGGCAGAAGATGGACAAATGATCATTTTGGCTAGCACATCATGCCTTCTGCTGGCGCATGACATAAATTGTGCATTCGATAACACCTTGAAAAGCTCGTCTTGTTCTTCAAGTTACTAACCTTCGATCCTTCCTTCATACCTTTTCTTTCTGATTCTCCGCTGGTTCTATTTCATAGTTTGTCCCATCTTGTATTCTGCTCCGATGCTCAGCAGGGATTGTGCGCTGGGTCTATGGGTCGATTGTTCTTTTTACCCGTTATTTCCGTTTATTCCCTCTTCTTGCCCCCCTATTATGTGCAGTTATCCTTTTTGCATAACTTGCATGACCCTCCCTCACTTTTCTTGTTTGTTCCTAGATATCACTCCTCGTGGGCACCCTGTTGTTCCAGTAACGAATTCCTGGCAGCAGTGGGATTTCTTTCTATGTCGATGTCTCTTTCTCACGGGCAGAAGCAGGTCGTGTAAAAGGCTCACCCGCCTTTGTGTATTAGTCTATCATAGCATACTCCTTTTTCCAGCCGAGCGATGAATGACCATCTCATGCTTTTCTTGTTTTCTTTGACGACCTATACCCGGACGATTCTCATTAAATAAATGCGTATGCTTTTTATATAGTTTCATAGCTGGATTGTTTGAACCTCGTAGTAGTATCTTCGCGATGGCGACCTCACGTGATGCGCCCCATACATTGATCGCCGCTGCCATCCGACGGGTTTCTAGTAGCTACAACCAAGTACAGCTTGCTGTTGTTCCCGTCCAAGCATGCAGTCAAGACCGTCTAGTATAGCGAAACCTCGGCCCAAGCGTCGGCAGCGAATTTGTCGTGCTTGTGATGCCTGCTACAAGAGGAAGGTACAGATTACTACCTATTCACAATGCCTTACGTTGTTTGTCCACCCCGATACTAACCCAATCTAGATTCAGTGTGATGCAGCAACGCCACGCTGCAATTGGTGCCATCACCATGATCTTCCTTGTACTTTCAAACGCAACCAGGAACGTATCCAGGAACGCTCTAGATCCCATGACTCTCCAAGGTACTGTTTCTCAATGTAGTTCTGTATATATACTAACTCGTCTAAGCTCCCAACGGATTAGTTCCACCGAAATACCGCTTGCTTCACAAGGTAAACAAACATACTATGCCCTTTCAACCATCATATTAGTTTGTTTGAGGCTTCGCATTTGTTCGAGGGAGACACTGATCATTCTGTGGATAGGTGTAGATCTGAATCACCAATCGGGCCCGCCATTAAGACAAAGTGGACCGGACTTGACCTTTACTCTTACTGTCGGGCCCCAGAACAATCTCCATGTCGGAGGACATGCTCTCGGGAATTTATGCACTTTCAATGGCCTGCCATTCTTCTCCGCTACTGGCCGCCAGTGGATAAAGGAACGCACCGGCGAAGACGTGAATCTCGAGTATACATCACCGAGGCCATCTATCCTCGACCCGTCAACGCCCAATGGGATCGCGCATGCAGTACCGCTTCCGGACAAGGGGATTCTGTGTCAGCTGCACGACGAGTGGCAGAGTTCAATCCTTTCCAGAATGTTCCCTTTTGTAGACCGAGTGCTCCTTGAATCAACTGTCGCTGCCGCCTACCATAACGAAACGAGCGTCTCATCGCCTGGTGCTGACAGCGCTAGAGCCTGCATTCATGCGTTTACGGCAACCTGCGTACATGCCGCAGACCAGCAACATGGGCATAGAATAGTGCATACAGAGGACCATCTTCAGACCGCCCACGACTTGGTCCCCCGGATGCTGCACGAGTCTGTTACCATAGATGGCCTGCAGGCCGTTCTAATGATAGTAAGTTTGACAACCTCGCACTGTTCTACGGAAGATGAAAGGGAGTGTTAGGGTGAGAAGTGAGCAAGGCAGGCAGGTGCTAAAGATCATGCAAAACCAGAGTCTTTGCTCCTTGGTAGTCACAGGGAATATCCTGATACTCGAGATGTTACTCACATCTGCGATACGCTTCGTCTTCCATCTAGATGGTCACCTTGCCCCAGTCTACATCGACGACGACCAGTTCAGGAGGAGCCTTCATGTCCGAGAATTATTTTGGATATGTTATATCATGGATAAGGAGTTTAGTCTACGCGCGGGTCATCCTCCATGCCTGGATGAGAGTCAGTGCGACCTCACACTCCCTGATATCCACCACACTGCGCCAGAATTTCTCGCAGGCATACGTCTTGCCATGCTTCAATCTGAGGTGTATCATCGATTATACTCCTTGAAAGCTTTGCGCCAGACAGATGCCCAGTTATTGGGCGCTATTCGCGATCTCGACAGCGCCTTGGAAGTTTGGAGAATGTCTGTTCCCACCAACTTTCGGCCACGCCTCATTGATCGGGAAACAAACGCCATGGACACTCCAAATACAATATTTCAGTTACACTACCTGTACTGCATGAGTATGATACATCAAGCAAGTGGAAGATGCTCTGCCTGGGTCCAGAATCACGATACATCTGAAGCGGGATCGAGTCTCGCTATCAGCGTTGAAGCCAGTCGATCGATGCTGCAGAAGTTCCTAGATGACCGTCTTGATTTCAATAAGACCAACTTGAGGTAAGCATCGGTTGTGGAAAGTTCATTGTCTTTATCATTTACATGTTATACAGGTTTACTCTTCCCTATTTCCTGACAGCTATCTGTCATCTATTTTCTAACATTCTTTTTAATCCAACGCACGGTGGCATCGTTGACGACTTGGAACTGTTCATGTCAGTGCCAGCTCATATCAGATCACGCGTACCGCCAGAAATTCCGAGATTATCGGCTTATCACATCAAGCTCTTCGAAAACTTCGTGATAGAATTAGGACGCCTTGCTAGTAGTGCTATTAACAAGGCGCGAGCAGGATCACAACATATGAACTAAGTGTTGCTTCAGATGTGAACAGCAATTTGATTTTCAGTAACACTAGACCGCTAGAGGGATTGCCGTGCCGTTGTACGTGAAGAATACCCATACTTCGATGAGATCAATGGCCGACCATGCTTGTGTGTTGCTGCTGAGCGCCCGATGCATGTGGATGCTGGGTAGACGCTGCGTGACCGGGAGAATCTTCCAAGGCAGGCCGGCTGCCGTCGTCGTGACACCGGGAAAGCGCACAATCGGCACAAGGTCTAGATCCATTGCGGCTGTTCGAGGGGCCGGAAAGCGACTGAAGCCGAACTGGGCTTGCCGGCTGAGTTGCATCAGCATCTGCATGAATGCTTGGCCATGGCGCCCGCAAGAGGAGGGATTTATCCGCCTGGCTGGTATATTCAGTAGCGAGCCGCCTGGGTTCGTGTCGTCCATTTCATTTCCTTTCCATACCATCTCACGGAAATCTCACTTCAACGAAACCGCCACCTCCACCATATTTACCCACCTCGTCCTAGTCTCGGGCAGCTCTTCCTCGCCCTCCAACCGCGCAACGGCTCTCTTTCTCTTTCGCATCGCTGACTTGGATAAATCACCATTCCCATCCTTCAGCTTCGCTTCCTCAACCTCCTTTTTCAACCTCTCACTCTCCTCTACCGCCTTCTTCCTCTCTTCTTTATCCTCCACCACATCGTCGACCACAAGAACACTCCCCGTCTTCACGCTCACAGTATACTCCTCTCCCCTCGCCTCAAACCACTTCCCCGCCTTCAAGGCCCTCTCCATTGCCCGTCCCGTAGCCTTCACAAACACCTCCTCTTTCTTCAGCGCTTCGTTACTCTGCGCCAATTGTGCGATTTGATTCCTGCGGTCGCCCTTCTTTCCTTTGTTGTTTCCGCTGAGCAATTTTGCCATGGCGCGGTTCTCCGCCGCCCGAAGGTACTTCTGGACGCGCTTGACGACGCCCATTGTGGGGGAGCTGGATGAAACGTAGATGGTTTTGGGAGATGAGGAGCCCGAATACGGGGAGGGTGTGGAGGGATGCGGGATGGGGCGCTTTTGGACTTTCACATCTGCATTGCGTAGCAGGTTAGTGGGGTTGTCGCGAGAAAGAGGCGGAGGAAGCTTACGTTTGGGGAGTTTTGGCATCTTCTGGTTCTTTTTCTCGAATTCGAGGGTTTTGGTTAGTGGGGCAGGCGTCATATTGGCGGTAATAAGAGGTATATTCGAGATTGCTGGTAATAAAGCACGCGTGGGTAGTTGTATACAGAGATGAAGGAACGAAGAGGAGCGAAGCAGCGATAAAGTAAAGTGATGGAATTGGGAAAATGAGGTGCTATTCCGAATGAGGTTAGCGCGGTCAAGTCGTGGTTCTTATCGGGCTTATCGCTGACATTCCCTCTTTGGGAAATTCCCATTGTATTCCAATCGTCATCATTCATTCTCGTATGCCACATTAAGAGAGTATCATCATTGACAAAATTCTACTAAACCGAATCCCAAACGCCATAGCTTTTGTACAGTCTTACCATATCCCCGCTCCTACGCCACCCCAACTACCGATCAGTACGCAGCCTGCAACTCAGCTTTCGGCTCCTCAGCAGAGGAAAACAGCGCCCGCATCTTCTTCTTACGGCTCTTCTTCCCCAGCTTCTTCCCATTAACATTGACATTCTCAGCCGGAGGAACATTCTCAGTCGCAGCAGTCTCCTCCGTCACTGACCGCTGCATCTCAGGGTACTCCGGAACGGGATCTTCGATCGGCGGCGGCGGCTGCTGCTCAGGAACAGCAGTAGGCTTCTCCGGCGTCGCTCCATCATGCATGTCGTTCCTGTACCAGTCCCTATCCTTGTTCGCCCAGTTGCGCCATGCGCCCCACCGTTCAGTGACAATGTCTTTCTCTAGCGCGTGCGACTTCGTCTCAGGCTCGGGGCTGGGCTCCTCGACGATCGTCTCTTCAGTCGGGGCGTAGCGCTCCTCCTGTTGTTGCGCTTCGGGTACGTATACGTCGTCTGTTAGCTCGGGGAAAGCTTCCATGTGTTCTCTTGTGGTGGTGAGGGGGTGCTCGTCTTGGATTGAGTCCGGGTATCCTGCATCCGAGGGGACGCCGCCCTCTGACGGTTGTCTGTCTGACATGGTCTCTTCGATGAAGATCACCGCTTTGTTGTAGTTTCGTCCGGGGCTGGTGGGCGTGGGTTCCATATATCCACCATTACTGATCTCATGATCTTGCTCTCCCCTGTGATTCTCGTCCTGGTCATCATGATGGTGGTACCCATTTATCCTAGGATACTGCTTCAGCTCCGACAACTTCGCCTCGTAGATAGCCACCATGGCCTGCACCAAGCACGTCACGAACCCGGGTTCCGCACCAAGAAGGTACTGGAATCGTGGGCTCTCGAAGAGATCTTCATCTTCATCGAACGCCGCGGCGAGACGGCTCCGTATATACACGCTGAAGAACCACTGGTCCCAGTCTGGGACCTTGGTGATGGCTTTTCTGGCCACGCTGAGGACGTCGAAGATGGAGAGGTCTTTGTCGAGCTTTTGCATGTATTTCTTGGATAGAGTTAGTAGGCCGCTCAGCTCGTACTTGGATGCCGCGGCGTAGGCGAGCACGCTGCGTCGGTACTCGGTTTTGGTCCAGTCGCCGCTGTGGCGGAGGGTTTGGTACGTGCCCGTGTGTAGGTAGTGGACGATCGTGTGGGTGATGTCGTCGTCGATGTCTGGGAGGGCGATGCAGGGGGTTGTTCGGGTGATGAAGTTCGGGTAGGTGCTTAGGATGTCGGCGAAGACGGGGGATTGCTTGAGGTAGTATTCTGGGATGGAGAATTTGCGTTCGCTGGGGCCGAGGAGGACGACTACGATGCGGGTTTCGTAGGGGCTGTGCGGTGTAGATGACGTATGGTTAGTAGGTGGTTGTGATAGGTGGTGGAGGAGGGTGGTACTCACGATAGCTCGGGCTGCTCATACTCCTCGAGATCGTCATCGAACTCGGGCTTCACGTTGGGAGTATATCTAGCAGACATGTTGCTGGTGTTGCCGCCGGCGACCATGTCTGTAGCCGTACTTGCAGTAGTGGTGGTAGTAGAAGTAGTAGACTTATCCCAACTAATACTAACACTAACGCTCAAATCTTCTTCTTCTTGTTCGTCGTCTTCTTCTTCTTCAGCCGAGAAATAGTATTGAAAGATGACCTCCAGAATGTCGAAGTTGAGAGTCAAGTCAAACGGTCAAGCATCAGCACGATAGTTGCTAACACGACCGGACCAAAGTAACGGAGAAATTCACTACAGATTCTAAAGATGCAGCAGCAGGGGGAGGGAACACGCAGGATATACCTACCCTGCCCTGCACTCCTCTTCTTACCTCCCCCTCCAGCAATGCATTATTCAGTCAGTGAGTAAGACATCAACTCATACCCTATGAGCTGTCCACCCCATGATGATTTCCACTGGGCCAATGACATGACAACACATCAAGCTGGAGGTGCTTGAAACCCAATGCAGTCCATTCCAGGTGCCATGTTTCATCTGGTGGTTTGGGTGGAGAAGATGGTACAAGCTTGATGTGTTGGCGGTTGTTGATGGTGGGTTGTTATTGGGCAGATTTGGGCGTGAGTGATGCTAAAACTAGTAGGCACCGGGTAGGAACTTGTTCATCCCCACTTGGTTACTGGCGGGAGAATAGGCATGTCATTGTTGCTGTTGTTGTTGCTGCTAACGGAGAATTTTGTTTAGTTTGGTGGGGTGGTTTGAAAGGGGAATTTTCTCCACTTACTGTCAGTCATGCGTTTTGTTCTGGTGGGATTTGATTCTCTTGGTTTGGGTTGGGAGAAATAAAAGAGGGGTTGCGGTGGTGGGGATTCTGCACACTAAATATCCCCGATGGTGGTGATAGCATTAACCACTCTTCTTCAATACACAATACAAGAGCAGATAGTTGACAGGGGCTTTGACAGTAACTATGAGCTTCGGTATTTCTTTTGAATATATATTGGAAGAGTAATTGATAGACATCCTCCCCTGAAGGCTGCGTGATTCCTGCTGGAAGGCAAATGCAGCTGAGAGGCATGGTTTGCACCACAAGGCTGTTGTTGGGATTTTACTTTTAGGTAAAGGTAGTATAATCAAAGCATTTTATAAGAAACTCTTGAATAGCCATATGAAGTCTCTTTTTCAAACTTTTGGAATGCGGTCTGAACTTGGAGAAATGCCGGATGTCTTACCAATAGGCTATTGGTTACGAGCCAAATTTGTTTGGACCCCCAATAGCGAATTCATACTCCTCCCAGTTTGCAATAAAGTCCTCTGTGACACTAGCATGGGATATTCTGTGGAATAAGTCGGGTTTCTTGGAATGCCGTTCAACGATAATCAGCACAATGGGATCTGCGAATATCAAGCAAGGCTCCGCACCCGGTACAATCCATACTCTTCTGCCGAATGTGATTGCATAATACCGACTGTGTCCTTTATTCGAAGAATCGAGGATCCATGCCCCATTCTGAGCAGATATGTGATTTGCAGATGAGCTTGAACCTTCCTCGCTTCGAACGAGGGGGAATGCCTGGCTTTTGAGATGCAAATAGCCTTGACTATCGAGCGTAGCTGAGCGTGTCGGCAATATGATGTTCATCACATTTACCAGATCTTCGACATTCATCAAACCGGTGGCTGTTCGAATAGTGCAGCCTCCACTTTCCGAAGTGTTTGGAATTGAGGGAAAGCTAGACATGAAGGGACATGGATCCAACTCGAGATATGCCCCAAGCCATGCAGCAGTACTACCTTTCTGCAGCGCAGCCGAGGCCAGGGCCAGGGTTGCTCCCACCCGGTCATCTCGGTGGAATTTGCTGGGATCTAGGCTCACACCGAACAGCCCCATGATACTAAATACCATGTCAACTGGCCGAGAAGAGCTTCGTATCCATGTTGCCTTCCACAGAGCCACTTGTAGTTTGTCGCTGTTAACTTCACTCAAGTCATTTGGCTTTGATGCCTCCGAGGTAAGCCAAAGAAGGTATGCCTGATCCTTCGTAATGGTCTGCATTTGAAAGCGGATCTCAATCCTGTCCTCCTCATGATCCGAGACTTCTAACTTACATGTCAGTAGGATATTTCGAAGATAAGAAACAACGTACCATTCAACATGCCTTCAAATCGAGACGAGCCGGGCCCTGATAGAGAGCCCTCACTGAACGATATGCAGTCGATTCCGCGTAGTCGTGAAAGTTCTTCTTGCACTACATCGTACCCAGGGTCCCCGGGGCGACGCAATTTCAACTTCACCCGGAACCTTTTGCGGACCGCCACAACTAAACCCCACAATGATAACGCACCCGAATGGAATGGCTCTATTGTTCCGACAGGTTCGCAGTTATAACTGACGTAACAATCCGAGAATTTCCATTCAAACACAACCAGCACAACTGGTGGAGCAATCGCTTCCTGTAACGTCCAAGCTCGCTGAGCCCATGTTGATCGCTCCGTCGGATCGATCAGTCTTCCCAGGCCACCAGGAAGAACCAGGCACACGGCACAACTCCTGTAGATATCGAACATATGCCGAATTTGCCAATTTTTGTCTTCTTTATCCTGCTGCTTTATACACAAGCGGTCTATCCACAACAGGTTACAAGGCCCTATGCTATGACGATATTGTCTCGCAGCCCGGCAGCAAGTCCTCAAAACATTTACACTGATCGACCCGCCACTTTCGGCACCTTTAACTGAGAATTGGCCAAGTGACGGGGGCACGAGAGGAGTCAGGCCCTGCCATGGGTAAGAAATCGTCGCAAATTGGTTCTCGTTGGTTGATAGAGTTAAGAAGGTAGTGATTTCCAGGACTTGGTCGTTGAGTAACGAGTCAATGACTAGGAAGCGGAATCGTTTCGCAACCAACTTTGACAAATCGAGCGTTGCCCCATTAAGCTCCGACAGGGGCTTTCTGAACTCACAATATTGCGGCATTATCTGAGTGGCTCGTGATGGGGACCCACACTCAATTGTTCTCGTCATATTATCTTGCATAGAGTGGGGATTTCGAAGGTCCCTTTGTTTGGTTGAATAGGGCACGAGGATACCTCAACAGCCACATTGAAAGTGTTAGCCAGAATGATTTTAGCATTAGCCTTCGTAATTTATAGGTTAACCTGATCTATAGAATTTTTAGGATTTGCGGAAATTTGGGCCGCAACACTTTATGCAAGCCACGTCGGAATCCCATAAAGGTGCATGGCAGTCATGTTTCCAGACCTTACTGGACGACCGATGTGAGTGGGCCCGATATGCATGGTTCCTTTGGAGAATTGCAGTTGCGTAGTTATTTCCTAGGCAGATGACAAAGCAAATCACCGTGGGAATTAAAGAAAAAGGATATGATTTTGGGTAAAAGCCAATCATTACTACTCATTCTAAGCCTGGAAAAGTCGGTAGGTTCCCGAAAGGTAAGAGACATGGCCTGCATATGTAGTCGATCAAGGTCATCCTTTGGGCTCTCAGTGGATGGTCGGTCACCTGTGAAGATACTCACGTGCTGCCATTAACCAGTATCAGCATGTAAGTCCATTTATGAGAACTAGCATCTGTAATGGGTAGGATGGCTGCAGTGTCGATCACATGTCTCTTCTACCCATAATGCCTACATCTGCCAATAGTCTGTGTGTATGATAGTTAATTGTATATGCTAAGTCTTAGATAACTTCATAAGCCACGTATTCATCGTAGCACGTCATAACAGTCGTCACATCATTATGTCTCGTAAACGCTCTCAAATCAGATCATAACTCCATCCCAAAATATGTAGCCCCGGTACACCATGCACCGATATACCATCAAAAAGCGGAATGCATTCGTAGATTATCTCTCGTCTGCGAATTCCGAAATATGCCTTTGCCTTTCAGACCTAACATCGTTGCAAGAACTCCACGTCTTTTCGATCGTATAGTCGTTTCTGGACCATGTGCTTCCACGCGCACTAGTCCGTTATCTGAGTGTTTGTCTGCTGTGGTAGTACGCCGGCTTCGCACCATGGTCTTGACAGCGTTGGTGATCTGCGTCCGGATGGGTAAAAATTCTGACTCTTCGCTTGTAGGCGCCAGATCCGGATCATCTTCGTAGGTCTCTTTCATGACTCGGGCATTGTCTTCTTGGGCTGCTTTTACGCAGCGGATGAGGATGTTGTGGTGGCCTAGGCAGCGGCGAAGATCGGGGGTCTGAGATGCAGCTTCACGTTGCAGCTTGCCGTGGGAAATGGCTGCCAGCTTCCCTGGCATGGCCGGTCGGTTTGTGAGTTGAGAGATGCCCGCGCTGAGGCGGGGTGCCCGACGGACTACCGTCGTGGGCAGGTGGAGGAACTCTGCAACTGCAGACATGGTGTTGAGGGGCTGTGGAGACGGATGGTCTTTGAATTGAACAGAATGGTATCAGATGAATGCATTTGACTGGTGATCTGGATTGCAGCGTGGGCGACACGATGCATTATATACTAAATTCCCTGCACTTGTTGAGACAAAGAAAGTCGCAGCAAAATACCCAAAAAGGAAGGAGTAGGCCAAAGCCGTCGTATGCTGGAATTAAGATTCGTCAACCCGTGGGGAGAGAAGAAGCTCGACCATGGATGAAACACGTAATCCTGGCCTGTCTGTCGCTGGACTCCAAGTCACAACGTCAGTCATAACCTAAACATTGCAGTCCTAGTAGGGCCTGGAATGCCACGCGGCGTCGCTCCCTCTTTTCTCCCTGCTGAGACGGTCTTGCTCGGGGTGGCTCTCAGCCAGGGTGGCCACTTAGTCACTCTGGAATTCTCGAGTTCATGGATCGACATAACCATTCCCTTGGTAGGATCAAGCCCGTCATCCCCCTTCCCAGGCTTTCCATTTGCATGTTGACTCGCCGTCACAGCGTAAGTCACAGCGTAAGTACCTTTTCTCGAGTCAGATAAGTTCCTGTGCCCTGGTTTGTTCCCCGGTCACGTCTAGGTCCCCCAAAGCATCAAACCCCGCGACAGGTTCCAGCGGCAGCACATTCCGCCTCTCATATCGTCCGTTGGAATCTTAGGTAATGAGTGATGAAGCATTGTGCGTTGAAACACTAGTCTTCTCCACCATGATTCATGGAGATACCGTCATTGATCGTGAAATCAATAGCATCATGACTGGAGGAGCTCATGATGAAGGATAATTCCATCCCTTTGCCACTGGTTTGCTAGTAATTCAATATTTCGATGCTGAATGGTATGCTAAGTAAGTGTTTCTCTTGCTCTCATGGCCTGTTTCTCTGGTCCCGAAAGTCTCTCAGAGATTCGAAGTGCACTAGTCAGATCAGCTTGACTGACGCTTCTACTATGAAGAGAGAGTAGCTTATCGACAGAGTCTGATTGCCCCGCCTTGAGCGGGGGGGAATGGCGTCACAGCCCACAATGATCAGTGCTAAGTTGAGACAGAGACTGCAGGGGCGAGAAAGGGAAGAGACTGAGTCGCAAAAACCCCCTCCAGCCACGTGCTTCGAGGCCTTCGGGGAGTAAATAATCCACCGACGTTGTATCATCCACTGCAGTCACCCAAGGATTCGTCACAAACAAATCCAGAGTTATAACCTTGTTTGCCTCGAGCTCCATCGCCTATTGGCTCATTGTAGACTTGTGCCCAGGAGGTGTTGTTGACGTCGCCACTCTTCTGAAGTCTCGCCCTCGTTACATTCCCAACGTCTGTCGGTTTTTGCCGGCCCCTATTTTTCTGGGGAAGGTGTGAATAAACCCCGCTGCTGCTAATGACACCATTGTTCTATTGTTAGAGGATTTAAGCTCAGTAGCAGCATGCCAATCTTGTGAACAGTCTCGATGATGGGCAGACACAGGATAAATCACTTGTTTGCCATCCTGATCATACGCGATGAGCTCTGGTAATTGGGACAAAGGAGACATGATGATCAATAAGAACGTCTCAAGAATTCTTTCTGACCTGTTCATATTCTCTCGTTGCCCTGTGTGCGTCATTGGACACCCACGGATTTGATTTCCTTGCCAGCGATACCTCTAGGCATACTCCAAGTTTCAGACCTCCACATGTGGATGATTTGTTCAAATGGTTTCACTAACAGACTTGAACTCCAAAATAGCCCGCATGATATTATAGGTCCAGACTGATCATCTGTGAGATCGAACCTCCACATTTCAATAAAACAAGCGAATCAAAAGCTCCTACAAATTACTCTTGCAGCACACAGACCCCACAGGCTCTGGCGCCTTATACTCGACACTCTGATTCGCCTTCTGGTTAGATGGAGGTACGTCATTTGTCGGATTGAACAGACAGAAATTGTAAGGCTTCAGATGCACCTGAACAATCTCTGCCGGCATAACTGGGAAGTCCTCCACACGAGGGTTATGCGTAAGGCCGTAAGTATGCCAGATGACAATATCCTGGTTGCGGACATTCTCCCGGGATTCAACCCAGGACTTTATCCCTGTGCCACCAAGTGACTGGTTTGTGTATTTACCGGCCGGGAAGAGCTGGTCATCGTGATACCGGGTGACCCAGATCGAGTGCTCGGCGAATTCAGACCGCCGCCAATGCCAGGAGCCGGGTTTGGCTAGGAGCATCTGTATTCGGTAATTGGGATTAGTATCACTACCTTATGCTGTGTCCGATAACTTCTGCTTCGTCTTCTTGATCTCTGGTTCCTCCAATCTGCTGCTGATTCTGGGACATTGGGTAGGGAGGACCTTACCTGGGACCTATGAGGAACGAGTTTATATCCTAGCGGAGTACCCGAGACCGGGTTCTCGATGTTTTCATTTAGGATTTGGAAGACTCGGCCTTTGCTGACATCGTCTTCGACATGACCTGCTCGGTCCAGAATCGTCTGCTCTGTCACATAGCCCGTACCGAGGGGATTGAGTTGATCGTCCCATGGCATGGCCACAGAATCTGTGGAAGCAAAGCTATTGTGCACACCGCCAATCGCAGGATCGATACGAAGGCTAAATAAATGCTGGTGGTACGGGGCCATGACACCATCTGCCACCCGGGTTCCCCACGGGACCACAACGTCTTTTCCAATAGGCTGAGTGGAGAGGATCCCAGTTGCTCTGGTCTCGAAGGTGATTTCACCAGACTGGTCAAAGTACCACATGAAGATGTATTCGTAATTGGCCACTGTAATGATAGTCTGGAGGACCAATTGCCGCTTGCGTACTACTGTTGCTTTGCCGGTACGGTGATTGGTGTGCTTCCATTGGATACCGTTGTCGATTTCGTGGATACAGATTGCATTTGGTCGGGGAGATGCATCGCCGTCCACTGAAACGACGTGACCATCTATATACTTGATCATACCGAGACAGTCGCAGCCAACTAATAAAGATTAGCATCAATATTGAGAAAAGGGAGTGATTTTCTTACGCTCAAGGTTGTTGGCTGTCACACCTGCACCCACATTTCCTAGGTCAAACGCAGCCTTACGGTAGATGGGATTGCGCGGATCACCATACGGAACAAACATCTCAGCGAGTGATAGACGGTAGAAATTGCTTTTGCCATCGAAAGAGAGGTCATGCAGCGTTAAACCTGTCTATAATCAGAAGACAACTCTCCAGTCAAGGGTATAACAATACCTTCGCGCCAGTTGAAACCAACTCGGAATCGCCATTTCTCCCACTCGACAAGGTGACCCTTGACAGTAAATGAGGCACCCTCTGGCTGGACCACCTGGTATGGCTTCAATGTCATTCGCGGAGGGGTCTTCTGCAGACGGTGGTCATATTCAGGCTCCTCTGGAGCCGTACGGCGATGAGGCACGCTGGAACCTTGCGTCACGCTCTCATCGGCCCCAAGAGGAAGTCGGATGATCTTTTTCACCTTCATGGCACACAAGTCAACAGTAACCATAAAGTCTAGCGGAAAGCTGTAATGATTGGAGTCTGGATCGTTGTTTGCCGGGTTCCTCATGTACATGAACACCTGAGCATGCCTCGTCTGTGTATCCTCGCCATCCACACCATAGTCCCACGGGTCAAGAACGACCGTAGTATCATCAATCTGCAGACGCTTAATCTCCGCTTGTACTGCAGGATCAGCCATGACAGCCTGGGCCACTTCATTCATCTCCGCTCGGTCGCCCGGACCATGGAAGTCTCGGGGAAGCTCAGCATGATGAACGAAGGTGCCATTGGTTACATCTACCACTGCTTCGAAGAGCCGAGGCGTCCTTTTGATGTACCAGTTGAGAAATATACATCTTGGGAGAAAAGGTAAGGGTTTGTTGTTGTGTTCAGCGTCCAGGAAATCGAGCAGAGCCGCCTTGGGTGGTTCCTGCAGACCACCAGCCTTGAAGTGCAGGGGAATCCCAGGATAAGCGTCTTTGACCAAGGTGGTAGCCTGTTCGATCTCGACCGCGGTAGCGGGGTCAAGAGGGTGAAGTGACATTGTCTCTCGATGAATGCAAGATTAGATGTGAAAGGTGAGACGATAGACTCGGTCGCTGTCGGTGGTTTGTGTATTCTGGGCCTGGGTCGGTGGTCCGCCTTTTGTAGGGAACTCCCTTTGGGCCCAGTCAACACGCTGCGCGACAGGGTCTTATCGAGAGATTGGGTGTTAATACAATCTTACTCGTTCAACCGTCTGGATTTGGGTAAGCGGAGCATGTGTGAGAGTGCAACGGCGGGCCGAGTCGATGAACTGTCCATGAAGAGCTGCATGTCACCCCCGCACTGATTGAAGGCGGATTGGATGAAGCTTCCGGCCAGATTCCGTCCATTCGGGATTCGTTCATTCCTCCGTTTATTTATCTCGCCGTGGGAGGCTAGAATTGTCTGTTATCAATGGCTTTTTCGTTTCCTGTCATGACTACCACTGATGAGTGTTAGATACAATCCGGAAACGCAAAACAAGTTGCACTATAACTATAGCGCCATAGCGCATGTAGCAACTAACGAACACGCAAATTGAAATAGTTATGATAGTATCTCGTTTTCCCTTCGTATATGCAAATCAAATCGCTTCAATGCATATTCAATGGAATATATAATTTTGTCGACGGGATGGAACTGAACACAACTAACCTAGTACGCCGGATGAAATTCACGGATTGAAGCCAGTCTCCCTCAAAATATATAATAGTAGTAGAGAGTACTAGAAGTACCGATCAGTTTTATTAGTATGCCCACGACTGAGATTTGAACATAATCTGGCACTTCAACTACTAGTACAATTCGCTCAAATCATATTCGACGTATCCAGAAAGTAGTGAATGCCACAATATATATTTGAACACATATGAACGAGTGTAGTATAGACGCACTATCCAAGATCGACCACTTACTCACCTGTCCTGCTAACACATGCTTGAGGGGCGCTACACAGCAAGAGGAGGT